TGCTATCAGCGATCAGCCTCATCCATGGATCACATGCTGGTTAAATCATAAATGGCAAGAAATCGATGTCTACTGCTTTCTCAGGTTCATACCGGGTAACTCTGACCGATTGTTGAAATAAACTTACCAAAATATTCCTCGAAGAATCCATGGTGGAAACCGGTAAAGCAAGAATCAGACTAATAAAATCGAAAAAAGAAAACTTGTTTAACTTGTTTAAGCATATTACTCAAAATCAAATGTTCACACTTGCATGATCCTTTAAACACGAAGATTCTTTGTAACTGAGCTCTGGCGGCCGAAAAAACTGTTGTAAAGACCCATGAAATTTCCAAGTATCAAAGAAATTTCAAAGCTGTAGAATAACATTATTATAATCTTTATTAAAGAGTACCTTGAATCCTCTATTAAGCTTCCCCTCTCAAATAAGCCCCCTCCCCCTTTCTCAGAGGAAGAAAGTTATTAAGCTCTGCCTTCCCCTCCCTCCTTATTTTTTTACAACCAAATTTGATAAATGATAGACTTATTTGTTAATCATGGCTGTAACACTTCAGTTGGCTTCAATGTTGTGGACTAAACTGGAACAGTTTATTCAGGAGCTGGAAGTTTGGATCGGCTTGTTTGCTTCAGCTTGTCACTTTTAGTTCTAGTTCTTTTGATAATGTTCTGGATGTTTGTTTGTTGCCTGGTTCAGGACAGGAAGTGAGTGCACACTGTAACTCTGGTCTGTTTCTTTCTCTGTTTTTGCTACTGGTAATGCATTTCACTAAATTAAGTAAGCCCCTCTCTTAAAATGAGCTCTCCCTTTCTATTAAGCCCTTCTCCCCCACAACGCGCACACCACCCCCCCGCCGCCCCCCGGGCGCTTAATAGAGGATTTAGTTTACGGTACTTGCTATCTGCTTACTTGTAGGCTCTTTCGAACGATTTCTAACCATTTCCCGTTCTCGATTGTGACACTATCATTTATGTTTGTAAATATTACTTCTCAGTAGTAATAAATAGTCTTACTAACGACCCGATTAGATAAACTAGAGCTCTCGCGTTGCTTAATTGCCACCGATGAAAATGCTAATAAACTTGACCTCCTTATAAAACTGCATGTAACTGCTGTCAAATCTTGGTATGGCGAGTTTGTTTGCATATTTAGAACATTGTATTATTCTTTTTCATTCCCAACTTTACCTTATATTCAAAACCATTTGGCGTTCGATCGTCGTTCGGCGTTTTGCAAATACCTCTGACGTTTTCTGACGGCGTGACAAAGGAAACCTTGCAACAAGGAATATACAAATAGTACGAATTTTACTTACTTTGTGTAGGGTGATTGACAGAAGAAAGTGCGCTCCAACGTCGCAAGTACTATCGAACTAAGAACTTGTTCGTTACCAATTATCCTGTCGGTTTAACTGCTTAATTTTTCGTCGTTTTGGAAAGAGTGTATTCCGTGTTCTTTAAAGAGTTTGAAACGAGGATCTGTACTGAAAATTCAGGTGACGCAAGTAAAGGAAACGAACAATAAAATATACGCTTGTTCGTCGTAGAACCGGTTGATAAAAACCGGATTTACCTGCGATCAAGCTGATTTTTTTTTTGTCGCGACAAATATGGTCGCAGGCTAAAACCTGATAAACCAGAACAACTTTTTACGCCCTTCACGCTCAATATTCAAAACTGAAAATAAAGCAGTCAATGAGTCGAAACAAGGAAGTATTTTGTAATTGACGGCGCTGCGCTTTCGTTTTTTAATACTTTTAAAGGGGACCCAAGTTCTGTAGAAAAACATCAGCAACTGCGAACCAAATAATTTATAAGCGAGAAAATTTCTGACGCAAGACACACGATAAAGAACGAACGAAATATAGTGGAAATTCTTCAATATGAAAATATCCACGATTAAGCACGTGCGGGTATTGAGGGGCCGTTCGGTATATTTCTGGTTTGTAACCAATTTTATACGGTATAGAGGGGTCGGCATTCCTTAAAAGATTTCTGGTTTTTAACCAATTTACGGTGGATTCGATTCAAGAGAGCATAAACGGTGATGAGATGCGCTTTGCCATTATTTCTTCTCACATTTAAAGGTGATGGCAACGAAGGTTTTTTGCACAACGTGGCATTCCAGAGTTTGAACATTACGTTGTAACAATTCGGAACAATATCTCTATTAGGCTGAAAATCGTTATTTGTAACTCGTATCGTGTAAATCACATTTTGCATGTGAAATTCTTCATTTTGTCACGTACTTTGAAAATTTGTTTATATTAATTGTTCGCTGTAGAGCACGACCCAGAAGTATTAAACGAAAGCCGTTTGATTCACCTGTTCGTACGGGAACAGAACGCTCAAATATTGAATAAAAGTAGCTAACCTCGCTTAACTGTTATGTTCCCTTGCTGGCTGTGTGATTTTCGTAACCAATCCAGTCCCTGACACAAGATCGCAGCCGGCGGAAGTACAGTTTTCTAGCGGCCATCTTGGTTTTATTTTTGGGGGCGTTGGGTAGGCGTGACGTAAATATCCCCACCCCTGCCCGCTTGGTTGATTTTGTACTCCTCCCCAGTTTACACTCGGTCTCTTTCAAGACGCCCGAGCATTTCCGCTTTCACAAGTGATGTTACATAATTCTCAACTTAAAGTTTTAAAGAATCAAACCCCCTTCGGCTTCTGGCCACCTTAAGGTGTTTTGCAAATGCCCATGTTTATGTTTTGACGCACTGCGCCACAGACGAAACTAAACTCTTGATTCACTCTGGGATTACATTACGTCTACGACACAGGGTACCGAGAGAAACCATGCACCGCGAGATGGAACGTGACCTACCTTGCATCGGCTGATTCAGATTGAAGAGTGACATGAAGAATTGAAGCACGTTCTTATGTCGCAAGATTCTGTCTGCATTTCGGTATATGACGCAGATGGGACAAATATGAATACGTGAATAACAGCACTTGTTCAACCTAGTATAGACCGGATTAACCCGGTATTGGACGTTTTTTTCTTATGTCAGGGGCGGATCCAGGTATTTTTCCCAGCGGGGGGTGGGGGTGCTTAGTTGTCGCCATAGGGGAGGTGTTACTACAGGAACCCATTCACCCACAAAATCTGTTTATGTATTAAAAACTGTAAGTATTGAAAACTTAGGCCCGGTTCAGACGCCGACCTTTTCATTAGCCGAACCTTATACATTGAATTAAGTCAGATGAAAAGTTCGGCGTCTGAATCAATTAAGAACGACGGTCTGTTTCAATTTGAAACGGCTCAGTCAAGAGAACCAAGGAGCTTGAAGACGAAGACCTCTAAATTATGCTGACCCTTCAACTCCGAAAGACGCATTTTATGTTGGGGACTCTATCGCCCTCCTTCGTCAATTATGTTGTTGCCTAGTCCCTGTACGGCGTTTTCCCAGTCCCTCTCGGTCAATTCGTTTCAGTGACGTATCCGAGACGAACGGGCGGGAATTGAAAAGAGCATTGAATCTGCATACTTGAGAAACAAAGAAATTCATATCATAGGGGACTTCAACATCGATTGCATCAACATCGATAGCAGCATACATGCATAATGCACCAGTCAATTCCACTGAGCTGCGCCCAGTCCCCTTCCCCCCACGGGCTATTACGGGGCATTTGGCCGACTCTTCAGTCACGGGGTGGGACATTTGCAAAATTTGCGCTGCCTGTGGGCCGGGCATTTGCCAACCCCGGGGCTATTCCCGAGCTTTTCACACGCACTACTGGCAGTTTCCTATCTGAATGTAACTACACGGAGGATATTACTGAAAAAAAAAAAAGAAAAGCAGATTAGCTCATCTGTCAATGACGGGGGGTTGTAAAGGCAAGTATGCATGCATTTCTTCATTGCTTATCAAGCCAGAAATACATAGCGAAGTCGGGAGCTATCGATTAAGTGAATCAACGTTTTTCAGTTAGTGAATCAAATTTCTGTTGATATTATTTGAAGAACATCCTTTCATATTTATAACCTGTTCATGACATATAACTTTACATATAACTTTACAGCGCTCTATTAATTTTAATGTCAATAATTTTATATCAATACTAGAACCATGAACTGGTGCATGTCGTCGCGGCGTGAATTAGAATCCTAGCGCCAGTTACAAAGGAAGATGTTACTTGAAACAAAAAAATTGCACATTAAAATGTTTAAAACGGCACTATTCGACTGTGAATCAATGAAAAATGTTTCAGTGTTGACGGAGGACCGGGCATTTGACCTCTTTTTTCGTTCCCACCCCGGGGGATTTGACAGCTGAGGAATCCCCACCCCCGGGAATTTGCCATCCAAGGCAAAAAAAATGGTAATGACCGGGGGGTTATGGGCGCAGCCGGAATTGAGCCGGAATCACCACCCGCTCTCCAAAACACTCAAGTCCAGGCTGACTCAAGTCTATGCAACCGTACAGCTGGTAGAAACAGTGACCAGACCCGGGGGTACTTTAGGAATTTCTGGGTGGCGATGTGCCGCTGGGGCCATGGAACCCTTAACCTATACCAGAGCTAGTTCAGCTGAATTTTGCTAGCCTATACTAGAGTAAACTCCCCAAATCCCCCCTATCCTAGAGTAGCTATTTTCCAGAAACTACTGAGGTCACTAGCATAGTCTAGCCAAAACAAAACCTTATACCATAATCCCTAGTCTAGATAAAATCTTCAACCAAATGGTCAGTTTCCTGAAAAATGATAACCTATTCTAGAGTAAACTGCTTGAAAACCATACCCTTCATAGCGGCACATACCTATATAGCACCCCGCCCCCCGGGACCAGACCAGCTAGTGGTGCCTGCCTGGACCACGTTTATAGCTTACACCGTCGCGAAGTTTTTCCTACTGATCGGTGCCAGTTGGTTTAGCAGATCACCTCCCGATGTTTATTTGCCGTTAATGTACCAAGAAACCTAGAACATCGGATTACATCAAGATAAGATACAGAGACATAAAGAACGTGCCTAAAGCTGAAGAGATCATGGATTCACTAAATGCTATCCTGTGGGAGACGTTCTTTGCTTAGTGACGGCATTAACACAATTCTCTCCGCTTTCGAAACAAAGATAAATGTCGTTCTGGATCAACACATTCGTTTCACAGGAAAACGAGTCAAACAAGAAAACCAGACTCCCTGGATGAAAACAAACATAATACTGAACAGCCATCAAATCAAAGAACGTTCGGACAAACTTATAACGACTGTTCGTTTCATCCTAAATTCACTTATAACGACTGTTCGTTTCCTTCTAAATTCATCGAAAACACGTTTTAGGCTGTACCCAGAGTACTTTTAGATATCTACAAATGCATTCTAAGAGGCGCTATAAAATTTGTATCTGTTCGGTCATCCTGGGGCAACCTGAGTCTTAACCCTTTAAGTCCCAATAGTGACTAATGTCAATTTTCTCCTAACGATATCAATACAATGTCAAGCAATTAGATTATGAGAATTAATAAAATGATCACCTTAGGCAAAATGCTTTGATCTTTTATCAAATTCTCTCAACTCATTCATGAAGGAAATGTATGGAGATCAGTTTGGAGAATTTGTATGTGGATATTGGGGCTTTAAGGGTTAATTACAAATGCTTCATAATATTATTCTTCCGAAAATTTTAGATCAAAGTTTTACGAAATTAAGAATTTTGTTGATTCCTCTCTCCATCGCATTTTCGAATCCGAAAATTTTAGGTTTTCTTTTTCTAAGAAAAATAGCCTAACCTGGAGAATGAATTGCGAAAAATGAAACTTTAGAAAATCATTACATGAATGGAACGGTCATCTAGAAAATTTTAGTCGTGCTCAAGTACTAGAAAATCCAAGGCAATATTTGCTTCTCCGAACAGAGTTTTGTAGAATAAGTCGTTGGGTGCCCCTGCTAAAATTGCCAGGAAGTCTAATCTTCAAAAAGAAGCTACTTTTCTCAAACTCATTAATAATTCACGACGTTATAAGCCAACCAGAGCGCTCCATTCGGGTCAGGTGGATGACTTTGAAACTCAATGACACACCAGTTGAAAATCACCAGTGTTTCTTCACGTTTTCATCACTAAATTGTTCTTAATCTGCATAATCATAGATTACTCCAACCTCTTTCCCAGGGTTCTCTCCTACCCGCCCTACGGCCCTGGGAACGAGGTTGAGATTACTCAAACACAGCTTAACATAAATCATTAATTTTTAATAAACAATGGCCAGGAAAGACATTTCAAATTACAAACTGACTTGCCTGCGTGCAAACTGACTGGCTCTTTTTCTTTTTGTTTCGCTTTCAAACCAACGCCAACTCGAGTCCCATCCTTCATTTCTGCGTCCAATATTCGTTTAAAGATAGCAAATCTAATGAGGAAAAGAGAAAAGTTCGATGCAATTTCCTTAAGTTTTAAAACTTCAAACGGCTCCCCTCTCCAATAAGGCCAGTTCACGCACCTTTTGTCGGAAGAGTCAGAAAAGAGATTAAACTCGAGGGCTGGGTTCTTTTCCACGAAAAATCGGCGAATACTGCAGACAATCTGGTACAACGTTTTCGGAGGGTATGGATCTTTGGAACACTTTGCCACCTCTTGAACAAATTTGGATAACCAATAGTTGAGCGTCAATGTGTCCATCTCTGTTATGGGCCGAGTAAGCGGCTGAACTTTGTCCAATCCATACTCTTTAAAAACTCCACCAACTTCAACTATTGGGAACTTTACATTTCGCACTCGTTGCCCATCCTCAAAAATGCCTACTGCCCCGCACTTATTTTTATATCTGGTAGAATTCGGTACTGCGCTCTCTAGGCAAAGTTCTTCTTCCGCGATTGTTTTCGGGAAGCGAAACCTTCCTTCGGCCATGACGAAAACAATATGTAAATCACTTCAAGTCAGCTGTCAAGTTCATAACGCTTTTGGATACAAATTTGGCGGTGCGACGCGAAACCCAGTATTGGATAATTTTTAAAAACAAAAGCTCACAAATACAATGAATGCCGACTGAATACAACAAATCACACATACAAGGCATTTTAAAGAAAAATGGAAAAAAGACAACACTGCATAATTTTGTATTGTTTCTTTGGAGAAGTCATTTCAAAAACTCGTGCTTCGGGTTTCATAAGGTTTCCAAACGCTCGAAAACAATAAAACCACTCGGCCGCAAATGTTTTCTCGCGTTTGGAAACCTGAAGCCCTGGCACTCGTTTCTGAAATAGCTGGAAATAGTGCTTGTGAATCAATTGACAACAACAAGGGAAACCCGAAAGCAAGGAAGGTACAGTGAAGGTATCTGGAGCCTCCTCTCAAAACATTAAAAGGGACGCAAAAGCAGGCGAATAAAATGGCTGAACTGGAAACGGAAAATGGAGTTATCACCGATCCTGTGCAAATCGCTGAAACTCTCAACGACATGTTTGCTAACGTTGCATCTCGCCTGAACATAAATAACACTGAACTTGGTAGATTTAGCTAGATTTACTCCTCCCCAGTTTACACTCGCTATCTTTAAGATGCCCGAGCATTTCCGCCTTGACAAGTGATGTTATGAAATTCTCAACTTAAAGTTTTATATATTTAAACCCCTTCGGCTTCTGTTCACATTAGCCTAAGGCGTTTTGCAAATTGCCCACTGACGCATTGCGCCACAGACGAAACTAAACTCTGGTTAACTCCGGGATTAGATTACGTCTACGAGGGAAATCATGCATCAAAAGGTGGAACGTGACTTACCTTGCATCGGCTGATTCAGATTGAAAAGTGAAATGAGGAATTGAAGCGCGTTCCAATGTCGCAAAAATTTGTCCGCATTTCGGTATGTGACGGATATGTCACAAACAATATGAGTAGGCGAATAACAGCCAATTGTTCAACCTAGACCGGATTAACCTGTTATTTGACGTCAGGGGAGGATCCAGGTATTTTTCTCATCGGGGGGTGGGGGTGCTTGGTTCTCGCCATAGGGGAGGGGAGGTGTTACCACAAGAACCCACTCACCACACAATCTGTTTATGTATCAAAAAACCGTAAGTACAGTCGACTCCCGATAATTATAATGTAAAATTATATGGAAAATGATCTGAGGGGAAATGAAAATTACTTCGAGTTACCGGGAGTCGAGTGTACTTGATTCAGCTCTTGATTTCCCAGTTTTACCGTTTGCTGATCTGTAGCGAGACATCTCGCTAATAAACGGAGTAGCCAAAATCGATGCTAAATATAAGTTATTACCTAATACCAAGTAGAAAAACAGTAAAATGATGCTTACGGCAAGAAGACAATTCAAATGGTAAAGTGCATTTGCCCGATATTTCGGTTTGCAAGAAAAAAGCCTAAAAGGGGCTACAATAGAACTAGACTCATCATGACAGCATCAACTCCGGCTTTAGTTTTCTTGGTATAGAAATATGAATAATATATATGCTTTGTCGTTCAAAAGTGATATTCAATTTTGTATTCTCCTTGAGAATGCGGATGGATCAAGGATAGTTATCCGCCGGGGAGTCAAAGAAATAATATAGGCTGATCACCGAATCGAATCGCACGCAGATGGCGAGCAAGGCACGGAAATCCTGAAACCTCGACGGTTGATCCTTCTTTTTTTGTTTGGTGTCAATGAACGAATTTTGAATGTGTTTATTCTATTATATTTACGCAAGTGGGCAAGGTTTATTCAGAGATACTCGCTTGAATTTGGTTGAGAGATTTCGTAAACGAACGTGCCGGCTGAGAAGTGACAGGGGCACCCAACGAGACGATAGTTTAAAACCACTTAAACATAGTATTGTTAAACGTATTTTAGTATTTAAACGGTAGATATAGGCATATTTTTATCCTCTAGAATCTTTTCATCTGTTCGGATTTCCTAGCTGAAAGTCTAGTGATCCGAAAATGATAGGGATCAAAACTTACCTTGTCGAAAATTTCAGCCAGAAAAAAGGCTCCCGAAAATTCTAGGTGACCTTTTAAGGGTAAAAATCCGTTAAAAATGGGCAATTATACCATATTTTAGATGTTCGAAAATCCTAGGAGAGGTAGGCAAGCAAGAAATTTTTCAACAAATTTTCCGAAAATTCTAGATCGCAAATCGTCTTCCGAACAGATATTTTTGCGAAAATTGTCGTTGGGTGCCCCTGAAGTGATTTTAATAATAAGATCCACCATCCTTTGTTAGTACTATCTTTTGTTAATACTAATTGGTTGCCGGTCAAACAAAGGGATACATTCCGCTGGCCTTCATTGACTTTTACTCGACCAAACAAAATCTTTTCCAGAAAATAAAGTTTCGCCTGGAGGACACTAGGACACTTTCTTTACTAAATATCTACTACTAAGATCTTATTTTATTTCAGCTGGCTTTCGCTTTTTTTAGTGACAAAAACCCCGTCCATCGAAATCTCCTGAACAAATCATTTAGTTATACCTCATTAAGCTTTCATTAAGTATAATCGACAATGACTGTTTTTTTTGAGGCTGGTTGTCAAGCAAACACTTTTTGTTGGATAATCCATGTCATTATTTGCGCTAATTAGTTCCTTCTGCAAACTCCTAAAAGACTTAGAGTCAATGATTGAAAATGTGGGACCGAATGGGTATTGTTAAACTATTCCTACAAGACTTTAAACGACAACTTATCGTAATGAATGAAAGTTGACCAGTTGTACTTTTTGAAGAGCCGTATTTATTCGATTACCCGCCCTGAGCGCTTTCGGTCCTTGAAAGTGGGCGCTTATTCGAGGCTGGGCGCTTATCAAATTTTCAACATTTTCAGCAAGTATGGTATGTATTTTGCAACAAAACAATAAATGGTAATAACAAAACGCGAAGATGCAAGGTTTCCGTAAAATACTCCGAAGAAAACTCTGTCTTCGGGGAAGTTTCTCGTTAGTACTTTTTCAATTTTGGGGGGGGGGGAGGGGGAAAGGAGGTGGACGCTTATTTGAGTTTCAGTGATTACGCCACAACCTGGAAGGAAAATATGATAATATTCCTTACAACCAATCGAGTTTCTTCTGATGTTTACATGGGAAAACATCAAACACTTTTAACAACTTGTGACTCAACAAACCTAACATATATAATCCAATGTAAAAGATGTAAAAAAAAAAAACAATATATAGGTGAAACTAAACGCACACTTCGTGAACACTTAAAAGATTTTTCTGCCGCTGGAATTACAACCCACCCTCAGCATGTCACGCCGTAAGGCAAGAGAAGCGTACCTCATAGGTAGAGGCAAAACCCTGTCACCAGACGGTCTGAACCGAAGGAATGAATTGAACATTGAACTGTTTCTATTTCTGTTTTTATTGTATAATCATTTACCTGTATATTATTCTATCTGGTATTAATATAATTGTAGTTAATCGATAACACTTACGTGAATTTTAAATTCAAATTTTACAAGCCGTTAAAAGACCATTTTCTCTGGGAAAAATCAGGCCCTGATGAAGGCTAATTTTGTTAGCCGAAATATTGGCCATGATAAATGAGTTTTGTTTGATCTTCTCATGAACACTGCGCCTTTTAATAAGCGGCTCATTTAACACTAGTCTTAACTCGTTTCCTTGAAAGCGTAGCCTGAGAGCAGGCTCTTCATGGAGTTGGGGTACCCCAGGTAGGTGGGGTAACCCGCTTAGGTGGGGTAGCCCGCCTGTCCATATAATCTCTCATTTTAATGTGATCACATTTAAATGTTAGGTAAGGTAACCCGCCACATGTTACCTCACCTACCTGGGATCCCCCACCTTTGTGTAAACAGGCCCTATAAGGGCGTGCAGAGCGAGTCTTGCCTGCGTTAGGAGGCCCAAAGCGTGAGCAAGCGGCGATGCCTGACTTCTTGCGTGACTTCTCGCGACTCCCCCAAATGGAGAGCTTGCTCGCAGGCTAAAAACGCACAAAATGCACACAAAACAAAAAAAATCAATGTGGACACAACTTTATTTACTTCCATAAAAATACCCTACTAATTTTCCTGTTTTACATATTTACAGCTCTTCATCAAAAGTTCATGTACAACTGTCAAGTTCGTGAAAAATATTTACACGTTCATTTTTTTCAGTTTCACTTCGATGAATGATTGGTACGGTTAAGGCATAAAGGCGTAAAGAAACGGCAACTTTGGACACAGCGAAAACAGGTAATAGAAAGGTGACTTTTAAACTCAATAATCATTCTTGTTGGGAGAACAGTAAGAGGAAATCAATGCAAAGAAGGTTTGAAATTACATCTGACCTGTATATCGGTCGCAGTTCACTATCCACCAAATTCATAAGCCATTCTGTAACTTGTAACGAAAAATTATCTTACAAGAATCGGTACGCCGCTTTTGTAAAACACTTTCGAAGTCGTTTTTTTTTCTTTTTTATCTCGGCTCTGCCAGGTCGCTTTCGAGGCACCCGTTGTTTCGATACTAAATGAAATATTATTACGTGAAGAAGTTTCACAAGAACTAAAACTCAGGCCCCACGCGGCAATTCAAGGAATGAGCAATTGTGTTCAAAAAAGGATGGAAAACTATAGCGTAAGGATGTACGAAGAAAAAATTTAGAGCAATGAATTTATCAATAACTTACCAAACCTAACAAAAGAGAGAGAAAGGGAGGAAAGCGTCCTTTTCTTTACAATAGTTCTTAACTGCTTATAACAAACCAAGACTTAGAAGACAATACCTTCTCTATTAGTAATTTAGATTTCTTTTCGACGAGGGCGTAACTGTGATGAAACTAGGATTTTTGAAAATAGTCGTGATTTTTGAAGCGAAGAAAAAAAAGCTCGCCTTTAGGTTTCTCGCCCTTTGTCTCTTTTCTTGCTTCAGTAAAAGCATCGACAAGAAATCCTACGATGAAAAATAAATACAAGCAACCTGAAACGTGCCAGCATGGTTTGTAGGAGAAGTCTCAAATATAACCGTACGTCATTTGATCTTGGAGACGGGCGACCACATCCAGATCAAAAGAGCCAGCCTGTTAAGGAAAAAAAAAATTACAAGATACAATACAGCCTACTGTTTCAACTGAAAAGAGGTGATAAAGCCAGACGTGAACCTGAATTGTTAGTCCGGACTTCTAAGACCACTTACAAAGGGTTAATACACGCATTTGATAACTTTGAGCCGGCTGCAATATTTCGCCAGTTAGTTTATTCTGTTAACGAGTAACATGGCTTTATCCTCTCTTGCCTATGGATATTCAGCGACGGAGATTTCTCCTAGATCACTAAACTCAGCCAACCTTACAACGCAAACGAAAAAGTAAAGGTTATCGTCACAGGACCTTTATAAGGACACCGAGCTTAGGTTTATGATGGTGACGCAACTGGCTCTAAAGTCTATTCACAATTTTAGACCATTTTAGAGTTCGGTAGTTTCTTTCTAGGCGTTGCCACATCAAGAAATGTAGTCTAACAGATTCAAGTGCTGAATGTTTCCAACAAAATACGTTCGTCTGTCGGTTACCAATAGAGACTTTTAGATTCTAGGATGTGTACGACTACGAGTACTAGATTTAATTTCACGTTTTTTCGCGTATCCTCAAAAACATATATACCCCGGAAAGCTTCATCATACGTTTTTTTACAACGATAGTTGGCACTGTTATTTTTACTGAAAGAGGTTAATCCGGTTTCTTCCGATCCCAAAATGATAAAACTGCCAACATTTGATAAATTGTTTCCGCACACTACGACATTCTCTCACTAAAACTCGTAGAAGAATGACGACGGCTATCACGTTTTCCCGCCAAAATAACGCTGGTTCAGGCACTACTTGGTATTGAGAAAATCTCGCACTCGTAGTCGTACTCGTCTTAGAATCTAAAGGTCTCCACTAATAAATTTTGGAACATGATTTTTTGTGACATTGCCATACGTACAAAGATAGGTATACATACCCTTGAGTACCAATATCTCGCCTGTTCCCTGTCCTGTTCAACTCCTAACCCATGATGCAGACAGCGACCGTACACAAAGCATCCTAAAGCGATTCCTTTAGCTACATACTGTGGAAGACAGTCCGTCTCAAGGGCAAGGCCTTCAACGTCATCTTGCTCCCCAACACTAGATGCATTGAACAGAACACAGAGCAAATTAAACAAGGCTCCGTTAGGGCCCTTAAAATGCGAGGAAGGCGACGGCAGCGAAAACGTCGCTTATACAGTGAATTCACGTTTTCATCGCATTAGTGTCACTGTGGACAGTCTAAAACGCATCAAAACGGTAGTGTGGACGCGAATCCATCGATGCGTTTTCGATGTCAACGAAAACACATACCTTTGAAAACGCATTAGTGTGGACAGGGCCTAAGACAAAACAACAACTCTGTACGCGCATCACGCTTTTTGTACATTTCTTTATCGTCACTGCACGGCTACGACGTGAAAACGAAGAGATTTTCTTTCCATTTTTTCAAAACTTTGATTTTGTTCTTAGGAATACAATTCCAGAATAGCTCGCTTGCAGTTGACAAAGTAAGCGAGTTGGAATAATAGCGATAGAGATTGAAAGAACGCGCAGTTACTTTTTAAGTTACGTTTTCCCCGCCCTCGCCGACGTGGTATCTTCTCAAGTCTCAAAATTCAGGAACAAGATAATCATTAAAACAAATCGCAAGACAATACCGAGCTCTGTATAAGGCAGAGAAGGGAATTGCTTGATACCTGCGCTGTGTTTGGATGTCTGGAAAAACCAAAAGGTTAGTCTTCAGTTCATTCACCCTTTTATTCAAAATTTTACTGTTCCGCCAACACGATATTGTGACGTGAGGGTTTTGTAGCCAGTTTATCTTGCGTTCGCTGATAAAAATATTAAAACCAATATAATTCTAGCGGTCTTGTAGAGAGCCGTTACTAGTACATGTTGTTAACTGTTGAGGCGTTAACTGTTCTAAACGCTTATAACTGTAATATGCGTTATATAAGGTTACCGTAGCGCCTCAACCTGTTAGAAGTTGTGATCCGCCTGTGTGCTTTTGGAAATGATTTTTGAGGATACATAGTCCAGTTTCATCCAATAGAGTTGTAGAAATTATTGTGATATTTTGTAATGAAAATTTAACTATCTTTGCTTAGGACATGGTGTAGCTAGCACCGCAACACTATAGCTTAACTTTAAATAGACTGCAAGTAAGAGGTAAGCCAAATACGGCCCAAGGGCTTAACCCACGGAATAAGAAAAAAAATTACCTTCTCTACTTGTGTGTGTGAGACGAAATGAATCAGGGTCATGAAATTGGGGGCCCATCCACACGTATCCAGATATTTTTGAAAACGGAGATTTATTTACTCCGTTTTAAAAAAAAAAAAAAATACGCGTCCACACGTAGCGTATTCGAATCGTTTTCGCCCGTCCACACGAAAACGCTAAAAAGAACGATAGCATCCCTTACGGAACATGCGTAACACTAGTAGTGTATGATGTACGACATCATCGTATTCGAAAACCTCCGTTTTCGTCCGTCCGCAGGTAAGCGAGAAGCCGCGCGTTTTCAAAAATCTCCACTCCGAAGAGAGTTTTTGAAAAGATGCGTTTTCGGTGACCGTTTTCACTGGGTACGTGTGGACGGTAGGCAGAACTGGCGAGAAAAACAACAACAGGGTATGGGCGACATGAACGATTTTTGTCTTTAACAGGGTCGGGGTCTGAAGGCCTCAGCGGCACACCTCTACCCTAAATTCCCTTAAGTGCCTCCCCCGGCGTTTCCAAGCAACAAAGAAGACTCCGAAATGTGTATTTTTTACTTTTCATTTGGTGAGCCAATTCCTACGGAGTTTTTTTCCCACTATCTCCCTCAGTAGAACTGTTGCTATTATTTTCCAGGTTGTTTGAAAAGATTACAATTCTTTTTAAACTAGTTCAGTACCTTCTGGCTACATCAGCAGCCTTGTTTAACAGTTTTCTTCTGAAATAAAGGACAGCTAAGTTGCCTTGAGCATAAACATTTCCCCGGGCTGCAGCCTCTTTGAGACACTTAAATGCAGCTTGGCGGTCAGGCCGAACACCAATGCCATATTCAAACATAACACCCAAAGCACCTACAACAAGATCGAATAAGATTACAGTGGACAACATAATTAAAAAGAGGCTTTTGAACCACAATACCGTAAGATTCCGAAAATAAGCCCATCCATGTATAAGCCCCTCCAAATATAAGCCCTTCAAAAACCCTCCGTTAAATCGTCCCTCAAAATATAAGCCCCCGGGGGCTTGTACTTGGAAATTGCCCTCAAATACAAAGTAAAACAAAGCAAAAACGGTAAATTTCCTTCAACTATAAGGCTAGCCTAATCGATTTTGAAACGTAAATTTCCCTCCGTAGATAAGCCCCTCAAAAAGGGCCTTTGAAAAATATAAGCCCTGGGGCTTATTTTCGGAATTTTACGGTAAATTTTGTAAAATAATCAAACATTTTTAGGTAACAAAGCTCATCGACTTATAAACGCCCGCACCATTCTGCTCGGAGGTCTGCTCATGAGTGAAGGTGAAGTTGCTCAGCTCAAGCTGGCAATTCTCAACCTACCTTGTGACTCAAGACTTCCATTTCCTGTGGCTTCCTGGTGCCAGAAATAAGCCTGCAAGGAAATCAAACTATGATTTAAAATCAATTGAAGCAAATACCCAGTGTTTTACATGAGTTTAAAACTGTGCATAGAGGAGGGAACTTGGGGAGGGGCCTAGGGGCCCTAGGGGGCACTCCTTGGAATTCTTGGTCGGGGTGTGCCACCTGGTTCTTCAACTCCTGACCTGTTTCAGACTAAAAAATTTCATTTTTGTGCACCAGTTTTCAGACCTGTACTCTAAGAAATTGTCATCATTACTTAGATTAGAATGCTGACAAAAAAAGATTTCTTAAAATCCATTTTGAATTCCCATATTTCTCTTTCTTTCTTATTCAATTGGAATTGAAACAATAAATACGTGACTCCTGTATAGTTTCCTCAAAAACCATACCTGATTCCAGACCAAAATGGGCAAAGTCTATACCCATTTTCAGACCAAAACGGTGCAAAAACCGTACCCTTTGGGGTGGCACATACCTATTTATAAAATAACTAAGATAGTACGTGCACTCTGATTGGCCGAGAGGAACGAGAGACACAAGAGGCACATCTGCAACTAGTTTTGTTTTTTGCACCCTAATCTCGCAAGCATGAATTTGAAAAAGTTTTTGAGTTGAAAGCTCGACAAGTTTACTTTATTTACCAATTCCCTCGTTGGTTGAAACTTGGAAAATCATTACAAAACATGCTGTATCAATTCTATTTTCAGTTAACTGAGATTTCAAGCGAGAAAAATCGGTATTTTGGAAAGCTTCTCTTTTGTCTTTTTTGTAAAAAAAAGAACTGATAACGCATGCGAGACTTTGTGCACAGTACTTCGTGACTGATAAGAATTTCTCTTTTAATCAGGGTCATAAAAAAGAGTTTCAGTCTGCATTTGTTCTCGGAAAAGTTAATTTATAAAAGCAATAGAAACCTTTTTTCCTGTATTTGCATAGCCTGATATAGACACTCGAGGCATTGAGAGAATTCTCGCCAGTTATGCAAACCCTCGACTTCGTCTCGGGTTTGCATAACTGTCTCATATTCTCCAAATCACTCTCATGTGTATATCAGGCTATGAAAACACAGAAAACGGTTTCTATTGCTTAAATAACTTATATAAGGGAGCAACACCCAGCCCTCCTGGTACAAACCTTGTCTAAGTCAAAGGAATCCTCTCCTGATCGTGAGTAAAACAGACCAAGGACTGTCTGTGCCCTGATGCTGCCATTGGGATCCCCATCTTGAGCAGCTGCCAGGAACCATCTCTCTGCCTCTTCATCTGACTGTTTGACTCCAAACCCTTCATAATAAGCTCTGCCAACATTATACTGGGCAAAGGGAATTAGATGAGTTGCATCAGGATTGGTAGATTCTGCAACCTCTTTGAGCAACTGAAATCCCATCTCCTATTCAAGAAAGAGAAATATTAAATTGTGAAAAACCAAAAAATTGTTTGAGAGCATTTACAATTTGTCACCCATGGTATTAAAAGGTAATCAAATGCATACTTGTGAATTAAGGAAATGATCATTTCAGTTGCATTAAATAAATTCCCTATTTCCTCATTTCACCAACATATTCAGCTGCAATTGGCAGTCCAACCATAGACAGGTGTCTGAGATAGGGCAGCAATAAAATTGTTTCAACCCTAACCCAGACAAACTATTCATACCGTTCCTTTTGGCTAGGTAATACCAAAACTGATCTCCTTCAATTTTAAAACCTAGCTTATAGACTGATCTGCTTGAAAAGACCCAAACCTTCACATAGTTGGTGGTATCTGATAGAGTGTAGTTTTTGTTAAAGTTGCCCAAGAGTCATCTCGAACAACCCTCCAGAATTCATGTCGCCTGATGCTACTGACCTATATTGTTATGCAGTCACTGTCTTTTTACGCTCACCTCTACAGTATTTGGTTCCACAGGTTAATTTAAAAAACAACAAATACACATTATAAAGTGCTTTCTCGGCTTAGTGGCTATGTATTCGCGCTTATAATAGACTTCGGGGTTCAGGCGACATAACTTCAGCGAGGTGACTTTTCAGTGGGCGACTTCACCAGCTACCAATAAAGGACATGATCAAGAATTCACTCTATTGTGTGAGAATAAAGTAAACTCAAGTCCTGTTTCCTTGATCTAGACAAGCTCACCGGATATGATTTTGTTCCGATGCCATCATAATACATCACTCCAAGTTGATATTTAGCTTGAAAATCTTTGCCTTTGATTCTTTCAAATGCGATCAAAGCTTTATCATAAATTTCCCGCTCAAAATAGAATTGTCCGAGTTGAAACTTAGCAAGGTTATCTCCGCCACTTGCACGCTTAATCAAAATTTCTTCTAGAAGTTCTTCTGACATTTCACCTTCATCGTCTTCCTCTACGGCACCCATAGAAAACGGTCTTAAGTTAGGAAGCTTCTCCGCGCTCAATTTTCTATCGGTGAGCGGTTGAACAGGACACGAAAAAGGTCGCCTTTCAAGCGTTTCTTCGTCCGCCATCTTGAGCTGAAGTTGAGCAACCGACGTTACCATAGTAACGAATAGAAAAACTACGTTTTACCTGGGAGGCCCGGCTGTAGCTGGCGAAAACGGGGGACGGGGGAGGAAAAGCCCGCAAGGGGAAAAGAAAGGGTGCGCACCATTTTCACGCTGGCAAAATACAAATTGTTTATCTCCCAAAATTTTCATATGAAATGCTTTCAATTTATCTGGGGTATTGCAATCAGTCATCCCAAGTGAAAACACGGAAAGTTGAAAACAGCTGCCAAAATGCATTCTGGGATAGACTGGTTACCAACATGGCGGCGGATTTGAAGTTGCAAGGTCAGAAGACAAGTGGGGATTCCAGGACTAACGGTGGCGGTGATTTGTGTAATATTCCTTGTTTAAGGCTACCAAAGCCGTTAGGATATGGAATCATTGCTTTAACATCGTTAACCTGCTATATGAACAGCTTGGACTATGATTTGGTTCACGATGATGTTTTTGCAATCAAGGAGAACTCAGACGTTCGTCCCGACACTTCACTTTATAATTTGTTTATGAATGACTTCTGGGGCAAGCCGATGTGGAGTAATACAAGCCACAAGTCTTACCGACCACTTTGTGCGCTAACTTTTCGAATGAACTACATGATCCATGGGTTAAATCCTTTTGGCTACCATGCAGTGAACATCATTTTGCATTGTATGGTTTCGTTGTTGTACACCTTTATGTGCGATGTGGTGGCTTTCAAATCAAGTGTTTTAGCACTTTTTGCTGGACTCCTCTTCACTACACATCCTGTTCACACAGAAGCTGTTAGTAAAAGGCTTTCTATTTTGTTGATTCCACTGTATAATCAGTCATTAGGCCCCATTTAACGTCGAACTTTTCATGTACTAAACTTAAAAATTACTTGGGTCGACCCAAATGATATAAATTTGACATTTTATTCAAGCGTTAAACTTTATTAGACGGGTCAATTCATTTTCACCATGTACAATGATCTACACCTGCTTACCAGTCAAAATAAATTGTGTGGTTCCAAAAATTATCCATACCTTCCCCATGGAAGGGATTTTTCCTTAGACCCTTCCCCCACCCCTCTGGAAATTCCAGTCAAGCTTCATACATTTACTTAAATTTTTGGGCTTTTGAGAACCCCCCACCCCCTAAGGAATTTTCAATCCCTTCTGTGGGGGGAGTATGGATATTTTCTGGAACTACACATTAGAGTAATTTATGCATTAGATTTGGCATTTGAAAAGCATAGCGATTGAAACAAAGTCGTTCTGAGGTCAAAATTCCCATGTGAGTCACTTGAACTTAATTCATGGGTCGAGCCAAATTACTCCTGTGGGACTTGATTGATTCAAACGTCAATCTTTTCATGTAGTGACTACTTAATTGAGGGGATTAGGTTAGGTGAGTGAAACTTTCAACAATTGAACTGAGCCTTACTTCAGTACTGATTATGGTATGAGGGTCAAGATGATGGCAGCTGGGTTTCTTATTATAGATTTACCAGTTGTTTTGCTACAATGTCAATTCACTGAAAGTTGTTTCACTGCATATCAAAATCATTTGCAAAAATGTCTTTTCGCATGAGTTTGGAAAATTTGCAAAAACAACTTGGTTGCTTCTGAAAGAACTGGCCCCAGTTGTTCAAAGGGTGGATAGTGCAATGGTTTCCAGAAGTGTTAAGGAAACCATTGCACTATCCACTTCCGCTGGTTAGTGATTCATCCAGTGGATTTATAACGCTGTCCAACGTTTGAACAACAGGCCCCTGTTGGTTTGTTACCCCTAGTGCATAACATCAAACTTAACAATCTTTAGACTGAGAGGTCCATTCCTATGGTACCAATTGAAAGAGATATGAAGCAGACTCAGGCTGTTACAGGTAGCAAAGAAAGCCAGTTTTACAGCCTGCCATTTACGCAAGCTGTAGCTAGCATCTACTAGCCCAAGAGACATTTGGACTCGCCCGAAAAATTTTTTTGATGAGCTGGAATGATTGCAGTTTTTCTATATTTTGAATTTCCCAAAAAACTTCACTTACCCATCTGTCAAGTTTGGCACAGAACTCGGTAGCCTGATCACAAAGTCCACTAGCCCTGAGCTATCAGACATGACTTTCTTTGCATGCTGTGTTAGTCTTGCCATAATGAAAGTATTGCTTAGGGGCTTTTTATGTTATTGAGCCATAACAATGAAACTATTTTGTCAACTGTATAAACTTAATTGCTATCAAAAATTTTCATTGCAAGTTAATTTGTTTAGAATTGGTACATCCCCGGGCAGTGAAAGTCAATTTAAGCCACATCCACAAAACAAGATTCTGGTACCTTTGGGAGGTGTTAAATTTAAGTTATCATCATTTTCACTGGAAAGTACCCCAGGGCTTTAGTCTCTTATGGCAATTAAATCCTTGCTACACACCAGTGTGCTTCTGATGCATTATTTTATTATTTCTTAGGTGACAGGTGTTGTGGGACGTGCTGATGTATTGGCATGCTTGCTATTTCTACTTTCATTCCTTTCTTTTGTGAGGTACTGAAAACTGCTTTTAATCATAGATATACCATCTTCTCAAAACTTTTTACTTTTTCTTCCAAAAATGAGAGTGCATTTACTTCGTCAAGTAAACTCTCACTAAACAGCAGAGTAAAAAAAGCCATCCTTAATAGCGTCTGTAGATAACTTTACTGAAGGAACATAGCACATAATTGAAAAATTGAAATATGAGAGATTTATATGTAAGTATTTTCAAAAATATAAAGGGTGGATTCATTTTTAGTGTACCCGTTTAGCTCAGAGCTGTCATTAAGAGCTGCGGGCCGGGGATTTCCCCTGGCTACTTATTGGAAAATAGTAGAAAAATAGAACCAAAAGAAATCTCTAGCTCTTTGATTCCACGCCTACTTGTTGTATTTACCCAGCAACTTGAAATCTTAGTGACAACCATGATTTAGCTGTAACAGTTTGTTAGGTCACCAGCAATGTTATATCTACAATGGAATCCTAATTCTTTTAACTACCTTGGGAAAAACAAGTTAGTCCAGTTATTCATTGAGGTATAGGATCCCTTGATAGGTTTCTTGAGGGACTGGTTTGAGGTGTACACTGTAACTTCTTTATCTTTCCATTGTGACTGACAGATCAACCAGAGAGAGGACCTATTGGTGCAACATGTACACAATTCTTTGTGTGATGTTTGGTTCGATGGCAATGCTTGTAAAAGAGCATGGTATAACTGTATTTGGTGTCTGCGTCATCTATGATTGTCTTTTAATCCATAAAAAGTTAATATGGAGGTTAGAATCTAAGATACCATTCTCATTTAGTTAACTATTGGCTAGTCTGGTATAGAGCCGTTGTTTTTGTCGTCATGCAACGCTTCTCCCAGGGGGAGGAGAATTGGATGACGATACAAACAACAGCTGTATAGCATACTAACTATTGGCTCTCTATTGCTAAGAATGATTCTTTTAAGTTTTTGGTGTAATAAAAAATCCTATTTTTAATTTTTCGTACCGCCAAATCTCTGCGAAACAAAGTCAATAGTCCACATTCAAGGGTACCTGTATTATAGAGGTGGGGATTGTTTGAAGTTTGGTATCTTTGGGACCAAGGGGAGACCTGTTTCAAATAAAGAGGTGTGCGAAATAGGAGTTGAACATAAAAAAGTCACTACATTTAGAGGCAAACTAGTACATCTTTTATGAATATTCATTAAGCTTTTTTTCTGTTTCTGTACCTGCAGGTTTATAACCAATAGAGCAGAGTTACCCTTGGAAAGTGAAACAGTAAAACCTCTTTTGTTTAGGATAATAATTCTTTCAACCACAGTGAGTATAGTTTATTTGCTTAAGATTTACTTTATTACATCTGTGGCTCATGCATGGTTGCCTTTTACACAACATGTAGCAAACAGTGTATCTTAAGGTTACTACTACTACTACTACTACTACTACTACTACTACTACTACTACTACTACTACTACTACTACTACTACTACTACTGCTACTGCTACTGCTACTGCTACTGCTACTGCTACTGCTACTGCTACTGCTACTGCTACTGCTACTGCTACTGCTACTGCTACTGCTACTGCTACTGCTACTGCTGCTGCTGCTGCTGCTGCTGCTGCTGCTACTACTGCTACTGCTACTGCTACTGCTACTACTAATAATAATTTTGATAATTATAATAATAATGATAATAAAAATATCTCTTATTTTCATGTTGGGTTTGCGCGAGGTTTTACAAAAAAAGAGCTTGCTGCTTGTCGAGAATTGCTTGAGCCATGCGCGAAGGAAGGAAACCAAATGATAGCCTGGTTCTGAGACTTGAATCTGGACTATCATCAGATCCGAACTTTCTAACGTGTTATCACTTAGACTACCACACCTCCCAAGTGAGTGAATCATGCAGACGCTGTTACATTCAGTACTGATATATGCTGTTTCATCAATCCTTCCTACAGGTTGTTGCTCTAATGATTTTTAGGGTATGGATGCTTGGAGGTCATCTTCCATACTTCACCAAACAAGACAACCCTGCATCGTTCTCAGACTCTCTAGCCACTCGTATAATGACCTACTGGTATCTAATTGCCTTCAACTCTTGGCTGCTTCTCTCACCAAGTGTCTTGAGCTATGATTGGCAAATGGGTAGCATACCACTTGTGGAATCACTTTGGGACTCTCGTAACTTAGCAACGCTGATGTTTATTGTGATAGCTGTACTTTTGGTTTACTCTTCGGTGGTGTCCAACAAAACTGACGTGAGTACAGAAGACTGACCCTCCTCCCCTGGGACCCCTCCCTTTGCAGTGCTCATTGTACAAACTTCCTATAGTGAGACATATTCTGTCTACTGCTTAAAAAAGGGAAAACTGACTGAATAAAAGGGTCATTATTGTGAAATGCAGGAAAGATGTCAGGTACAAGGTAACGTCCCTTGCGACCCAGTAACTTCAAGACAACATGCGTGGCGCCCAAAACTACGGCCGGTTATCGTAATAACTGATACGTATTTTTTATTTGGTTTGTATTAACCCAAAAAGAAGCCCTGTCAACCATAAAATCCCTGTTCACGGTGTCTGCCTATTGTAGCGTAAATTGCTCATTTGTGGGTCGTGGGCATATTTTAATGGGAGATTATCTAATCCGAGCGACTGTTATTTGCAGATCTGTGAAATTCTTGAATTCTATGCTATATCAATGACCTTTTTATCACCGTTTCAGAATGCCTTCCCCGGTGGCTACCACTTCTTCGTGTTTTTGCAAAGATTCGTTTGTTTTTTCTTTATGACGCTCCATTTTACCTGAGATATTTGTCCGAGTTATGTAAGTGCGCGTATTATAGCGTGTAAAACGTTTATATCCTACGGAACTGTCAGCTGCAATAAAGATGTTTCCATATTTTGACAACGTATGTTTAATTAACCTTTCTACTCGTGATTGATGGAGTCTTGTGGGGATTCTAACGTTTGAGTCTGGGAAGGAAATCTTGCGGTGTGACCGTCCATATGGAACCTCCTTTTGAGTACCTTCACATTGTGCTATTTTTATTCTTCAGCATTTAAAAAAAATAAAATTTGGAAATTTTGTCGAATACTGACTTAAAACAATTTTAGGAGTGTAAGGGTTAAGAGACATTTCTTCGCTTATTGTGAGAATTTTACTCAGGTTAAATCCACTCTTTCTGACGGTTCCTTTTACAGCCTGAAGAACAGGATATTCTCGTGCTGTCCCTGGCCTTGTTGGTCGTTCCTTTTCTTCCAGCGTCAAACCTTTTCTTCAGAGTAGGATTTGTGGTTGCAGAAAGAATTTTGTATGTACCAAGGTAAAAATCGACTGAAGTTTATAGCTTCTTTATAATTAATATAGACTTACATGAAAGAAAACACTGCTGATCGGCTCTAAAATTAGTCGAGACAATTAATTTCTCAACGGCATTTCTCACTTTTTGCCGACACTATCTGTTACAAAAAGGAAAAAGCGAGTCCTCCCTTCCCTACTCCCCCAATATAATGTTGTTCTCCTGTTCAAACAAGTCACCATTGGTTAGGGATTGAGGTGGGGTGGGTGTAGATTGTTTTGTTACCCGATCCATGGTCCATCGACGACAGTCTAAGCATAGTCTAAGCATTTGTGTCGCTGATTGTGTCTTTTTCAAACTTATTACTAATTCACCAGCCGTGACTTTCTGACATGTCTGGATAACTGCAGGACAAGTGCACCATTTGCAGTGACTACTTTTATTGATTTTGCGGAAACAATGCCCCTAATGCTCATAACAACAGGAGGTCCTGGTTACAGGAACCTTAGCCATTGTCGTCAAATCGCTATGTTTGAGAAAATAATCCTATAATCGAAGCATTGTTTTATCGCAATTTTAAACACCTTTGAAGTTCGCCAACTCTTGTTCCGTATTTGATATGTTATGGAACACTCTTTCTTATTGATGTAATACTTAAATACGTGTTTGATTGAATGGTGCCATGATGTCTTTCATTTATTTTTGTAGCATGGGGTTCTGCCTACTGATTGTTTGCGGGCTTAATAGACTGGCCTCGTTTGCAAGAAGTGACAGAACAATTTTTAACACGGATAAAACGAACAATGGTCAACGAACGAAAGCTTCGACATTTTCAGAAGCGTCATCAACGACAAAGCTACTGCAAAAGACCTTACTACTAGTATTTTTTATGCTGACTGGACTTTTTTGTTGGAAAGTTATTGTCCGTAACCGAGTGTGGAGAAACAGAGAATCCTTATTTAGGTGAATCTTAATAATGTCTTTTTTCATGAATACCTCAGTTGGTATAAATAGTGATTTCATAGTTGCTTTGACTTTGCATTAAAACTTCAACTAACCTTTATTTATAGATCTGGGGTTGAAACCCTTCCTCACAATGCCAAAGCTCACTATAACTACGCTAATTTTTTAAAGGACGTTGGAAGGAGCAAGGAAGCTGTACACCATTATGAAACAGCGCTAAGGTGAGTCTTTTTTCATGAATGCCGTATCACTGGCGGTACGTTGAACTGAACATCTTCGTAGGAGCGGTTTTGGACAAGTATTTGTTTGTATATACATGTAAATAAGCTTAGGTCTATGTTTTGCTTAAAATGCCGTTAGAACATGCTTTTAAAATTAGTACTAGATTTCGCTTAAGTCCACTTTCAAGAGATCGATAGTCAGGGGACTCCACTAAAACATACTTCAAGAAGTCTAAGGTAAAGTAGTTACGTTGTTTTGGAAGAAAAGAAAAGAAAAATCTTGAGTTGGTAGAGAGTGTACTGTGGGTAAATGCTAACGTAACGATTTCGCTGCCTTATAGAGTCAAGTATTTCTAAAAGAACCATGTTTTTCTTTTTGGGGTGTGGGGTTTCCGTTAATGTACTGGTATGTTTTGTTTTCCCTACTGAGATCACTTGATGTTCTCAGGGCCTGTTTACATGAGATGAGCGAGCCCGGTTGGCCGGGATGGCTCGGCTTATCGTTCTGTTTATATATGATTGGGGTAGTTTGGTGGTGACACCTATTCGCGCGTAAATACGCCGTCTCAAATTTACTCCTCACAGAAATATTATTGTCTATTTCTATCTTTAGGTTGGCCCCTGATCATGTTAGCACTCATAACAATCTCGGTACACTCTTGGAAAACAATGAGGTGTGTCCAACAAATTTTAAAACTCTTTTCTTGCTCAAAGACAAACAATTAAACCTCCGTCCAGATTCGAACCCAGAACCTCCTTGGGTCGGGTTCTGTATCCTCCAAGCTACAGAGAGACTCGTGGGGGGCCGAGCAAGGCCATTTATTGAATTTTTATGTGAAACCTTCTTGCGTACTGTTACGACCAGCACTGTTGATGGCGAAACTGCTGGGCTCCTTCTGCCTTATTCAATACATGTGCTTGCTCGGCTCCCCACGAGTCTCTCTGTAGTTTGGAGGACAGAGAGACTCTTTGGGAGCCGAGCAAGGCCATTTATTGAATTTTTCTTAAAAAACCTTCTTGCATACTGTTACGACCATTAGTGTTGAATCAGGTTCCTTCTGTAGGTACCGAGGCACAGATTACGTACAACAAAAGAACCAAAGGAACCAGACAATAAAGCCCCCAGGAGAACTCTATGGTTTGGTTCCTTTGTTTCTTTTGTGATGACAGTACCTGCCGAAAGACCTAACTGTTGCCACAATTTTGTGCCGATTTTTAAATATATTAAGTAGTAAAATCTCATTCGGAACTCCGCCCAGTATGGAGGAAGGCCCTCTTCATTGCCCGCCGCTGGGGATACGAGAAGCGATGAGAAGAGGTTGTATTCACTGGCTATAACTTATAGATAGTTACATGTATCACAACTTACAGTTGTTTCGCTCATAAAGAAAATAATGACTGAACGATGAACGACAATTCCGTTTATATGTCTTAATTGTCGCCTTCAGAAAGCCATGGAGCATTTCTATCAAGCCATAAGGCACGATCCTTACCATGCAAACTCCTACTTCAATCTTGGAACACGTTTAGCGTGAGTACCTCATAATTTAAGTTTAGATAGGTCGTAGGCAAGAACTCTTTTTTTTTTTTTTCGAAAAGGCGTGCTAGTATACCTAGCGTCGCCTCTTAACCATCTCCAGTTTAACGTGTAATAAGCGACCAGGCCGCCATCCAAACCTGCGGCGCGCAACCGCCATTTTTGACCAACAAACCCTGCCATTAATATGGGCTTATCAACGGTACAGATATGCACCTCTGCCTGTTTACAGGTCTACAAATAATCGCAACAATAACAGTACTGTTATTTTTTAGAGGCGACTCTAATAATTTATACACAGCGAAAAATGACTTAACAGTGAGTACCCTTTTGTCTAAGATAGGATTAGAACTCCAAATTCACCGCCAATTTTTTGTAGCTAAGATTTGGCAAATGTCTATATGACTGAAAACGTTGTTCTAATCGTTACAGTTGTGTAAAAATAGTATCCTGTTTTTTTTTCTTGTCAGGGCTTTGAAGCGTTTACCTGAAGCTGAAGCGATGTTGAAAAAGGCACTTGGGTGAGTACATACTGAACTAGACTCTTCCGCTCTCATGTTACCTAAATTGTGATCTTAACAACAAGAAGAAAAGATGAAATGTTATTTAGGATGGGGGGAGGGGGTTGGGGCGACTCGCACGGACCTATACAAGGCACTTTATGCCTCCACTCTTTTTTATGGTAGTTTTTAGTTATTTATTTACAAGGATATATCCAGCCGGATTTTTGAAAAACCACCTAGTACCGAAAATTGCAGCCATTCGACTAAAAAGGGGGCAAAAAGGCAAGGCAAATTTCTTGCTTCCGATAAGCCCGAAAATCAGACTACGAAAGGAAAAGAAAAGGACAAATAGAGCGAGATGGGAGAAATAAATAGAGAAAATCAGTGGCCGGTTGCACTCTTAGTTTTTATATTGTTTACTTTAGTTCTTGAACGAAAAACACTGGTTGACGGAAGAGGTCTATTTTGGCAGTAACGTGTTCAAAAATCCTGCTACACGTCTTTAGTTATTTACTTGTTTGTTTGTTTCATCTGTCATGCCGTGTATTCTTCGCTCGTGTTATCCCAGTGAAATTAGGAAAACAAAAACAAAAACAAGAAGAGAGAAACAACTAATTGTACTTAAATACTTTAATCCTAAATCTTAAATCTGCAAACAAAACAGGATATAAAAATTTCCTCCATGCGATGTCTTTGTTGCTTTACTCTTACAAAGTAACTCGATGGAACCTTGTCTTAGCCATGATATACTCATATCAGTATTCTTCTCATCAGATTGAATCCAAGTTATCTGGATGCGGTAATGAATATCGCTGGTGTTCTCAGCGATCAAGGGAAACTGGTTGAAGCTGAGGAGTTTTACAAAAAAGCGTTGACTTTAGAACCACAAAACGCTGACGCGCACAACAATTATGGCGTTTTCCTGGGTAAAATGGGTCAGACAACAAAAGCCTTGGAGAAATACAAAACTGCATTAAAACTGAACCCAAGTCACTCAGTAGCTTTGGTTAACATGGCTCGACAATTGCGTACCTCCGGGAACATTCATGATGCGGAAAAAACTTATAAAAGGTTTGTGTATATATTACCACAAAATCCTGATCTAAGTCACTTTGTGGCTTTGGTGAATTGTTCACTATTTAGATGCCAAAAACAAAACAAATGCTGATCTAATTTCTTCGGCAAGCGGGTGATCCAGGGATGCTATTCTGTTTTACAGCGAAGCGTGGTTTCTTTTTCCGAGACGTAATAAACCAAACATCAGTGCGCTCTATTTATGAAGTTACAGAGCAAGGAAATTTACGCAGTTCAAGTGAATTAGGGCTGTATTTGACACAGGCAGTCTATTTAATTCTCCTTTATCTACGAGTTCGCCTCTAATGTAGAATCACATCTTCCTATAAACTCGTAGCTAGGGCACCGGGGTTCGACTCGCCTTTGGCGAACTGTATTTCCACAAAGTATGTTTTATCCTACAATTTTTCGCTTAAATGATCCTGACAACTTTGTTAGCTACAAGGGATATTCAAAAATGAGGCCGTGAGCCGTAAAGCTCACGCCCATATTCCCGTACCCTCAATATCCCGCACAGGACAGCTGGCTTCCGAGGCTTTCCAAGAAACAATGGCCAAGACACTTTAGTGACACTGTCGTTTTCTATTATTTAAGACTACAATGGGTAATTTATTTGTTTATTTTTACCTTAGAGCTTTATCAATAAAAAGAGAGCCAAGTACTTTACAGCTTCTTGGTGTTTTATATTACCACAATAATCAATTGAAGGAAGCCGAGGCGACCTGGAAAGAAGCGCTGCAACTGGCGCCATCAAATGTCGAGACTCGGTCAAACTACGTGAGTGCTTTTTCTTTTTCTTTTTTTTCTCGTCGCGCAGCAAAGTTTTTGAAAGGGATTATTTCTTAACGTAAAACAATACTGCGTTGTTTGGGAGTGAAACAAAGAAAAAGTATTAACCATAACTTAACCTCCGTAAAGAGATTGAAAAGCTGACTTTTTAAGGGCTAGCCCTTTGTTAGAGCGAATCCGATTCGCCTACTTGTCACCTCAAAAGTTTGTGATTGCCGATAAAACAGAGTAGGCTTAGATTATTATTTTGTCGCCTGGATTTTACGTGTCTAGCCTTAGTCTAAATAAAAATGATGATTGTGGTTAATAAAAATGATCGGAGCTAGCATGCAGAGCCACTGGAAACAGGTCTAACCTTCCTAAGTCTTAAGAATAAGTGTGTGATGTGTGTTAAGTAGTATAGTAGGGACCGATCAGGCCCCTTTTCTTGCACATTTATTTATGAGAAGAAGAGGTCATCGGCGTTAATGTATTCCTGCGCAAATAAATGAGATTCCCGCACAAAAATGGGCCCAACCAGTCCCTATCATGCTATTGTGTCTCACAATGGTGTGTTGTCACCCATTATCCATCCGGCTTGAATCCCCCTGCCTTCCGTTTGATGTTTTTGTCTTTTGTCACTTCGTTTCTGCAAACTTTTGATTTCTGTTATTTCTATTTCCAGGCCATTCTTCTCAGTCGAACAAACCGGCTAAGCGAGGCCGTGAATATTCTGAAGGGACTGGTGCAAGATGATCCCCAGAACCTTGCACATTATAAAACACTGGCTGGAATGTATGCTCAAAAGGGACAGGTAAAAGAGGTGAGGTGTTTAGCCTTTTAAAGGACTGTTTTGTTGTCCATTTTTATTTGTTATTTTTTTTTTCGCGTTTCCTGATTGCCGTTAATCTGTTATTCCCCGCTTGGGATTTTCAGGGCGGAAAAACGTAATGCGCATGCGTTAACTTTTTTGCCCAGATCCCCTGGCCGGGTTTGAAAAAATGGCGGGATTTCAAAACTTTTTTTGCCTAAAAATAAAATGTTTCCACTCATAACCTGGAAAGAACAGGCAATTTGTCTTCAAAAGTTGCAAGCTGTGGTTATAACCTTGTCGTTACTTAATTTTCTCGAAGAATACCTCATAGTAAAACGGACTTTAACGACATTATTTTCCTTGCGTTGTACTGGAAATGTGCATGCGTAGGTCCGATTTTTTTCAAGATGCATTCACAAAATGTGTTCATATAAGGAAGTTCCTGGATATATAAGGTCCAGAGCTCCACTGTGGACACAAAGACAATATACCTTTCGACAGTGGTTTGCCCAAAAAAATTGGCGCTTGCCCACAATGTGTTTGAGGTCACTGAACTTTGTCGCACTCGAGCTGATATTTTAAAACCCTGGCTCGATCGGACACGCGTGGTTTCTCAGATCACTAAAATATAAGCAAAATCCTCAATGTAGAAGTTATTGGGTTGATAAATGTGGGCAGAAAAAAGGTCAATCTTTATCTGGTAAAATCTTCCCAAAAATCGGTTTCAAAGCAACTATAGTTTTTTTAAACTTGCTCGTATCGCGCTGATATATAAATTTTGCTTTGTGTTGTCAAGTTGAACACGCATAACATCTATCAAAAACCTACGTGTAGATAGGATTTCCTTCAAACAAAGTTAAAGTTACATTATTTCAAAAACTTCTTGCTGACAATGAAGAAATGAATTTTCTGTACGAAAACAACCTACCTAAAGATCTTAAAAGCAAAAGATCAGTTGCAACTTCGCAGCCAAGCCATGATTCACCAAGTAGCTATTTTCAATAAGCTTGACTGGTCCATGCGAGGGTCTTGGTTTAAGCAAATTAAACTCAGCCGATCATTAGAAAATACAGAAAATTGCACATAAGGGTTTGTTTTGCTCCCCTCTGTCAAATCAAGCTGCAGCAATTGTTTACCGGAAAAGAGTTAATTGTTTTGAAGTCACTGCCGGCAGTTGTCGTTCTCTACCTCACAGCGAGTGAAAAGGACAATTTGCATACAGAAAGTGATTCTTATAAAGAACAGAAACTCTCACAGTGCACAGGAAAACAAAACTATGAAGTGAAAAATGGAAAAAACTATGACTATTATTACTTGAGCAACAGAAAAATGATCTTGAGTAAGCTTGCTGGCCTTCTATTTCCGAGAAAGTTTAATTAAGCGCACAAGTTTGTTCACTCTGATGCGTTATAACAGCAATATGGTTCTTTGACTGAAGACAAAGATAAAGCTGGTTCTGCAAAGGTAATAAATCTGGGGATGTAAAAAAAGTAACCGTAACTACTAACAACAGAATACAAGCGGGTTTTAATTCAACCCAGCGAAATCAACTCATAAATTAATCGGATACACAATCAGAAAATACTCGTCTCTTAAGAAATGTTCAAAACCCTTTATTCCACCTCAGACTGACGGAATGATCCGTTTTCCCTTTAACATTGGTTGTTCTGAATCCAAAGTAATTTTCAAGTGACGAAAAAAAAGCAAACATGTCAAATAAAAATGCTTTACAGGGAGCAAGCGTTCTCACCTCGTGCATTTCACTCAGAACTCCAGCAACAAACAAACACAGTCAACACAGTCGTCAACACACAGAAAAGCCCGCCTTGAGCCTGCGATAAGGAATGCGCAGAAGCTTGCGCAGAACGTTTTTCCGCCCTGAACTTGGGATTGCCTTTGAAGAGTAGATGGTCTGGAGTGTGACAAGTCTTCGTCTATAAAGGTGGTGTTACACGAGATGATTCGCAACGACTACTTTAAGCGCAACACAGCGTTGCATCATTGTAGCGACATTGTTTCGAATAGTTATAACGTTGCTCCAATATTGCGACGCCGTGTTGCATTAAAAATCGTTGTTGCGAATCGTCCCGTGTAACATCTTTATTTATTTAGTTTCTTTATTGTTTTTGTTGCAGTCACTACAAGTTATTAACAACGCCCTTGAACTTCATGGTGGTGACGCAGACCTTTATTTTCATCAAGGCAATTTTTATAAAGATTTGAAGAATATGCAAGAGGCCCAAAAGGTTTGGTGTTTTTTAACTGTCCTTTTGATCCACACCATTTACCCCCTTTCTTTTCCCGCCCCTTTATTTCTCTTCTTTGTCAATAATATGGCAGCCACATCTTTTTTGGACTCCCTATCTTTCTCCCCTCTTCCATTCTTCCTTATCCAGATTGTCCTGCTCCTTCTCTCCTCCAGTATTTTATTTTCCCGCTCCTCCGCCACTTTCGTACTTGTTTGTAACAGAAAAAGTTAGCAATAACCATTTTTGTGGCCATACAGTGCTTCATGTTGGCTCTTCAATTGGACCCGGAACACTTCAGTGCTCATTTAAACCTTGGAGTTATCTTTCATCTTGAGGTAGGTTGCGACTAGAGATTATGACATGATATACTTAATCTGTTTAGAGTTGCCCAGAATTCCTTCATCTTTGCCAAGTCATTTGGCGACACTTGCTCAGGCGAAGAGACATAATCACTGTTAAGCAGTCATATTGTTAATTAAATCTTGTCATGTTAGGTCTATAATTAGAGAGCTTTAGATCCTGAGACGAGAACGACTACGACTACGAGATTTTCTCAGTACTAACTATAGTGCTCTTGCGTGAGCCAGCATCATATATTTTGGCGGGAAAATGTGATAGCCGTCGTCATTCTACTACGAGTTTTAGCGAGAATGTCGTAGTGGCGGGAACATGTTATCAAATTGTAGAAGTTTTATCATTTTGCTATCGGGAGAGGGCTTAACCTCCTTCAGTATAAATAACTGTACTAACTGTTTTGGAGAAATAAAGTAAAATGAATCTTTCCGGGGTGTGTGTTTTTTTTAAAGTACACTCGCAAAAGTTTTAAGTTAAATCTCGTACTCGTTATCGTCCCCAAATCTAAAGCTCTCTAATACCGGAACAGTCAACTCTCTCGACGAAGAGCTCTTTGGGACCGACACTAAGTGTCCGTCTAAGAGAGGTGTCCGTCGGATAGAGAGTCAAAAAAAGGGAGTAAAGAAAGGCAGGGACCAACTCTAGGTGTCCGTTTTATTGACTTGTCGGTCTCATTAAGATGTCTGGTAATAGAGAGTCGATTGTATTACTCAATGACAAATATTAGTGAATACCAGAGAGGAAACTTTAATATTGCGCTTTACTTTTTACAGGGAAATTATGCAGAAGCACGCTTTCATTATGAAACTGCTGCTAAGTTGAATCCAAACGACAACACTTTGAAACAAAATCTGGCAAAGCTACAACGCCTTGAGAAAAGAAGTCAAAAGTAAATTGAAACAAAACAAGAATATATTCACCGTGAAGGCGACCCACCAAAGAGGAAATGTCAAGGAAAGTTACTTGTGTTTAGAGGTTACTATGAAGAGAATATTTGCCCAAGGCATAGGTTTGTTAAAATTATGGGCGAGTTCTTTATCTTTTATTCAAGTGAGAGATCTGAGAAGGACCGCTTTAAACAGATATTACGTCGACTTTCTAAGGATATTAATGAATTTTCATTTAAGGCCTCTATGAAAGCGAAGAAAAGTGAAGATTTTATAGATTCTTAGTACTCATCTGAATTTTAATTATTTACTGATTGTAATTGTACATACTTTATTTTATTATTTCAATTTTTTGTAAATAATAAGATAGCATGTCCACTTCACCCTATGGCTCCCTAAATTAACCTGCTCTAACAATTAAAAATGTATGTATAAGTCCCACTTCAATTTGCGTGAAAAATCCTTACCTTAAGCCTCACTGACTTGGTTGGTTTCAATAAAAGCCTCGATCGATCGAATTATGCGTGGGATTTTAGCCAATCAGAAACGGAGAAGTATTTTGAATGAATAATAACTCACTGTGGAATGCGCAATTGGGTTTGTAAAGATTACTTTTCAGGTAACACAAGTATTAAGCTTCGTGTGGTATAGACCGTTCAAACAAAACCTCTTCAGCAGTACTTTCTCGTGGTATATTCGGTATATATCTTGATTTCACCAAAGCTACACTAAAATGGGCAACAAAATAAATGCAACTTGTTTTGCAACATTTCTGCAAAACGGATTGGAAAGCGATCGCGTTTTACCATCCGCGTTCAAACCTGTCCTACAACAAACAAGGTTTCCAGGTTGGTAAAACACACAACATCGCCATTCAACTCGTTTTGCAGCAAAGTCGCAAAATAAGTCGCTTGTTTTACCGTACCTTAAGATGTTAAAGTTACAACAACGATAAGCAGACTTTGTAAATAAGTGAATTTTATTTTAATGAAATTAGATGAGATTATTTCTGAAAGAAATAAATGGTTTTATGCTGAATGTGACTGATCATTATTGTATTTCTCCAGCTACCAGCAAAGGAGGGTTTCCTGTCATCCGGGTGATTTGTCACGAAAGTGTCATTTATGTCACGGGTCATGTAAGTCACAGAAGCGAGGCACAAGGCTTCCTTGTTCGTATTACAAGACAGTCAGAAACATTTTTCCCTCCTTTCTCTCCCGTTAGCCTTATTTTACCCTAGGGAATGGCAGGTGTGCCCTTACCTTTGCTGGGATAATGTTCTTGTGTATCTGGTTTTCCCAGCTTTATATGCTTTAATTTAATAAACGGCCACTCCCGTGGCCAAATATCCCATAATGGGTTTGTGATCATTTTGTGTCCCAGCAAACAGAGCTCACCCAAAGCGAGACTCCGCCAACATCAATAACTTTTGTAATATGTAAAAGAACATGAAGCATAAATAGGCGTTTTAGTCGAATCGAGCTTGTGCCCTTGCAAGAAATAAAGTTATCGAGAGTTGGAATAAGAAGTTGAGTCTTTTGCTTTATCGAATACTTAGTTAGACTGTTGGTAGCAGGGTACCCACTCTCCCCTCTCCCACACCCAACCCCCTTCCGCTTTAAACGCACCAAACCACCAAGGAAGAAGGTCACATTTCGTTGACGATTTTCTTAGGGTTCTTAATAAGAATGTCTGATATTTATTCTAATATCTCGTAAAAGGAACGTGTTTAGTGTTCCTAGACTGTCGTAATAATTACTTACCCTTATAAAATTCTATTGTTTTGTCTCTGAATTGTATCGACGATTTCAGCCTGAGAAGGTATGCATATTCAGTGCAGTAATCTAAGTTTGTGTGGAAAACGGAGGCGGTCCTTTTTGGTAGCAGGGACATTTTCAAGGGTCATCCTAAACGAGAAAAACGCGCAATATTGCAGTGGGGTGACTGCACTGCAATATTTTTTAAAAAATGCAGTTCAATATTCACTGAATATTGCAGCCTCCTTGCAGCAATATTGTAGTTAGCTAGTTCACATAACTTTGATAAAGTCAATACAGTAATTTTTGTAAATTTTTCAATGCCATTGTAGTACAGTTATTGTAGATCAACACTTCAGGAAAGTTTTCTGATATAAATGAATGGCCACAACTGATATAAATGAATAGGCCACAACAGAAGTGCTATCTTAAGGGGTGCATTAGAAAACGGAAACATTTTTAAATTTTATTTCTACTAGATTTCAATTACTGAACTCCTTACAATGGTGTAAGCTTTCTTACGTACAGGAAATGACAATTTTATTACTGTCTGTTAGTAGTAATTACAACTGACTGATTATAATATTCGTTCTGCTTTTCTTTAAAGACTTTTTTCGCCTGGTTTTTCTTTTCGCTTCCATTTCAACCTTTTCGTCTTTGAGTCATTCCCTTCAAGATTTCAGTGGCTTTTTTGTTCCCTCTCAATTCGCCTGAATCTTTGCGGGTCTGAAGAATACGAAATACAAGGGAACCATCTTTAGTAGTTTCAAACTACGCGCAATAAAGCAAAGTTTTAGATTCAGTTTTCTTCACAAACAGCAGCATTCTCCGACCTATGGCTCTGCGTTATGAAAATAGAAGATTTTTCTTCCAAGGATCCTCCATGCAGCTCAGTACGTTTACCTCAATGAAAGCCAAGCTATGTTTTCCCCTCGAATCAGCAAAACGAATGACGCAGTGGTAGGCATTTTACTTTACACACCCAACATCTTATTATCCTGTTCCATCATCACAATTCCGGATGCAAGATTTTCCCAATATGAAGCAACAAAATCATCCATACACGCATCCAAATGATCAAGACCTGATACGAAAATGGGCAAATCATCGTGGAAAATGCGTTAGCAAACGCACAGTTAGGGGCAAGAAACCACTAAGTTCAAGACTGGAGCCCTTCCCCTGAACATGTATGAGACTGCTGTCCATGGAGGAGAGCGATTGGATTTTGCGCGAAATGAAGACGGTAAAGTGCCACAAGATGATGAAAGAAAAGGTGCATGGATCTTCATTTGGAATTTCTGAAGCAGACCAGCTCTCTCAATACGATGACGACTCCTCTGATGACAATGATTCTGTATCAGAAGAAGATGGTGCCGAGCCTCAACTTTTAAACAAAGAACTCGGTTTCCTTTTCACAGCATCAAGAACAAGAAGCGGGAAAATGGTGAGGACATCGAACAAGGCAGTTCTTTAGTTATAGTTCTCAACCAAAGTAAAAAAAAATGAGTGTCTAAAAACGTTGTCTTACTCGTGAAACGTGAAATGCCGAATTTATTGTCCGTGAAATGTGAAACGACCATTTTATTTTCCACGAAACGTGATCAATACCCCCCCTCCCTTAACCACCCTCTAAGAACTGTCACCTGTGAATGGAGCGGGCAGTGTTTCCAAGTTTGTTTGTTTGTTTGTTTAGGTGTCCACAATTAGTTTACACTGCGTGTAAGCTAGGCATTTGACACGTTAATTAGGTCTTTATTATTATTTATTATTATTCGGAAAAACTATACATCGGTTCTGCAGCTGTTCTATCGTCTGTCACGCTCTTCACTCTCTTCATTATAATTGTGTACTGAACCATAACCGACTTTGCGATTTGAATTTTTCCGTGTTCGATGCTTCTCTTCCAATAGACCTATTCGGCTAAGACCCTGTTTACATGGAGTGGGGGACCCCGGTCTAGTGGGGTAAGTTTCTTTTGTTTTGTGTCCCCCAGAGCGTGAAAACAAAAGAAACTTACCCCACTAGACCGGGGTCCCCCACTCCATGTAAACAGGCCCTAACTCTATGTTGTACCCAATTCAAACCCTTTGGGAATAAAACGTTTTGTTTCAGGAATTTTTATATCATTTAAATATGAATGCCACATTATAATGCAAATACAATACACAAAGAATCTTATCCCCGGGAGATTTGAATTGGGTACAACATTGAGTTAGCCGAATAGGTCTATCTCTTTGTTACCTTGAAACTTCGCTGCGGTCGTTAGTTTCGTCTTCAAGATATAAAGTTGACATTATTGCAATCTTCTCTTCTTTTAAAGTAAGTAAAAGGCTTAAGTTTGAATCATACTAGGACGAAAGAAATGCGGTATATCTTAAGCCCTATTCACATGTAGTAACAACTTTATTGCATGCGAATAGAAGTGTTTACGACTGAATCATTGTTGTTTTAATTCTTATCTGCGCGCGGCAATAAGTTTTCTCTTCTCCTCTTCACATACGGCTTGACATTATTGCAATCTTTCCAACTTGAGTTTGTCAAATTACTTAGTCGCCAGTAGTATATTGCTACAGTAGTAAGAGTAACAATTAATGCATAAGAATGGAACTGAATGGAAGTGATTACAATGGACACAACCTCTGCCGTCACGAAATTGTGTCAATCAAACCTACCACTCTCGCTCTGGGTCAGTGGTTGAAATATTTTATCCCGCATTTTAGGCTATTTCGCATGCGATAAGTATTAAAAAGTCGTGCCCAGTAAATCTTCCTTTATACTCCGTCTAACAAATTCGTTTTAAACTGAATCGTGCGAAATAGTTCATGCATGGAATTGTTGTTGCTGTTGGTTATTCTAAGTGAGTGCCGTATTTATTATCAAGTCAACATGACAGTTCGTTGAGCGGGTTTTTTTTTTCCAAAACAAGGATTCTTTGCAAAGCAAATACACTGTTTAGAATTTAGCTGAACAAAACAAGCCACGATGTTTTCTTTTCGTTGTAGTTGTTGTTATGTTGTTGCTAAGAGCTATGTGTGTGTTGACAGTACTTTGTTTGTGAAGAGTTAGCTTCCAAATTTCCTTCTTTATCGAAAAGAAATAAGTAGCGAATGCCTTGAGATTTTATTTGAACTTGATAGATAACGTTTTGATAGGGTGAAAATTTATAACATACTCATTTTCAAAGCAAATCCAAAAACTCTTTACCCGCTTGCTCTAGCCCTATAATCAATTCGGGTGCATTTCGTGATAATCTCTCACCAGCGTTCAGTGATGTCGATCAGCCCTGCAGCAATGTTTTAGCCAGAACAGCCGTCTCCCACCACAATATTATTGTATGGGTATGACCCAGAGGGCTCCTTTCCTTCAGAAGAAGATAACAACGTTGTTGTCGAATCAATTTCTTTTAGATAAAGGCATTCAATAGAGTGCTTATGTGTTAGATGTTGTGGACCCTCTAGCACAGTCCACTCATCTGGGTATTGATCTTTATATTCATGCCCTAAACCTGGTCAGGGATAGAATGGAATGATAGTTAGATCTCCCCTGGAACAGAAAATTACTACTAGAATTCACAAGAATTGTGAAAACATGGGTAAAATTCTGAAAATTTCAAGTGTAAGATGTAATTTTGTGAAATTTGACATTCATTTTCTCAGACTCCCATGAGAAATGTTCTTTGGTGGCCTCGCTGGTGAAAGTGGAAACCCCAGATACTCTGGCACAAGCATTATCTTTAAGTCCTATTATATTATTAGTAGTAATTTAAACAATTGAACATGCACTGCCTTTTTTCAGACTTCAAAAAAATGAGCATCTTCCTAGGGGTCAAATAAAGCCCGATCCCTACCCACATTGTTTTTTTTAGGGGTGTAGTTGTAATTCCCCCCACAAGCATCATGATCACTTTACATAGGAGCCTGTCCTCCTCACGTCTGGGTAGTAATTTTCTGTTCCAGGGAGATCTAACTATCATTCCATTCTATCCTGACCAGGTCTAGGGCTTGAATATAAAGATCGATACCCAGTTGAGCGGACTGTTGGGGAGGGTCAACAGCATCCAACACATAGCACCCTATTGAATGCCTTTTATCTAAAGAAATTGATTCGACAACAACGTTATCTTCTTCCGAAGGAGAGGGGCCCTCTGGGTCATACCCATACAATTGAGGTGGGAGACACGGCTGCTCTGGCTAAACATTGCTGCAGGGCTGATCATCACTGAATGCCTGCGAGAGATTATCTAAGGTTTTTGTCATAGGCGTTAATATTCGAACTGCTGTCTCGGGGTATACCTGAGCAATATAACTGAAAAGCAAACGCACCGTTTGATCGACAACGACAATATGTTGCTCCACAATTTCATCATCCACTTTCGTCTGGGAAATTGGTCAGTTCTTTTCGTAAAACCGGGTCAAGAAACCTTAAAAGTCAGACTCACATCGAAGTGCAGCCTTGTGTCATCTCTATGCTTCCTTATTTCCGTAGCTGGCATTCTAGCTGCCACCACCGCCATGTTTTTAACGAGCAATGATCCGTGTCACTTGACCAGAAGTAGTAGTGAGGGCTCGTTATTGAATGAATAGTTGAATGTTGACCAGTTGAATGTTAAATGAATAGTTGAATGTTTTAAAAAATTAAAAGCTGAATGTTAAATAAATGGTTGAAATTGTTGAATAGATAATTGAATGGGAAAATAAGGAATTGAATATAAAATAAATAGTTGAATGTTGAATGCGAATTTGAATATTGAATAACGCGTTGAATGTTGAATATAAGTTGAATATTAAACGCATAGTTGAACACATAATACAAAACTACATATAAAATTAAACGAATTGAATATTGCTACATTTGGCTTGCCATAATTATTTCGTTAATTACCAATGACACAAATACATTAGACCATAGTCGAGAAATGTTTTTACCTACAATCTCAATGAAAACTTTAAGTTCTTCGCAAGTCCACTGGTAATACAAAGCCGTATCTCTATGGAATTCTCTTGACAATCATACGCGTGCAATCTCAAGCCAAAAGTTTATTTAAAAACTCTCTTAAACGCAGAACTTCATGCGAACAGCTTAGTTTATAGATATATATTTTTTAAATAGGTTAAATCTGTTTCTTAATTTTAATTTTTCAAAGCTTTTTATTCATTTGTAAACTGTGTTTAACTTTTTAATACACACCGACCACATCAGCTCCGCTGTAATTTTATCGTGTTTTGATATTTTGGTGTTGTTGTTGTTGTTTGTTTTTCCCACAATTCAAGTTTTCGTACTTGACATTTTGCTGGCTTTCTTCACATGCATGAAATATTAGTTGCGTTCGCCCTTATTGTACGCCATGAAATGAAATCTCACTGAACAAACAGCCTTCACTTCAATCTCCCACGATGAAATCGTTGAGGCCTCCAAAGTAAGGCCTTGGCCAGCGATTAAGTGGTAATCCGCAGTTGGTAGAGATCATGTGTGGATATCAGTGTTGACAAAGAAAATTGTTTTTTTTTTGTTTGTTTTTGCAGCAATTATGGCTGATTACTTCTTAAGTTTGAACGTTGCGTCATCTAAGCAACTAGTCGACAAAGCAAGGGGCGTTTTTCACAGGTGAGACTGGTCATTGAATCAGCGGACAACAAGCCGTGCTAATATTGCTTTCCTCTTTTCTTCTATTGCTGCAGCCATTGTCACTATGTGCTCCTCGAACCAGTCTGCGGATTTGCAATTCTTATTGTCAAAGATGGTCATGGCTGCACTGTACACACTTACGACGTAAGCATGAAAGCGAGGCCTAAGGGCCACATCGCAATTAAATTGTATGAAGAGGTAGTCAAGCGCCCCCTACAACTACGACAAAAAATGGTTCTTACAAATGGTGCGCTGCTGCGCTTTGTAATAATCGTTCCGATAATAGGAGAGACTTGACGTTTCATGTATTTCCCAAGGATCCTTGCCGAAGGTTAGTTTCTCCACTGTCCACTTTCTAACGCATGTTCATTTACTATAACTACTCCAGGAATATCCTTTGGGGTTAAATTTTGATCTCTTAATCACAAATTGCCATTGTTTTCGCCGCCCTATTTACTTTTTTTTTAAGTTTGCGAGAACTGGTGGCCCTTAGGCCTCGCTTTCATGCTTATCTCGTAAGGTTGCTGCTAGTGAAACTCGAGAATCTGTCGCACTGTCGAAAGTCATAGTCTACGCCAATTGAGATGAAGACTCATAACCAGTAGACGGCTGCTTTCGGTATTGTTTCGACGCCGATCGGTGAAGTGGAAGTGTCATCTCCAGTGCGCAAAGCCTGGATGAGGATATCTATGGAGGATGAACTGTTCCCTAAGCAGCAGATACCCCTCTCAACGACGCTGAAATGGACCAATGAAAAGGTAGAAGACAATACGTATGGTTACAACGCCGCCGCAGGAGTTGCCAGAACGTTGCTTAGTACATCAGCGAGCCACCTTAGGCATTCCCAAGTCCAGATAAGTGCTTGAGGTTTACTTCCGAAGCCTTGCCTGAGAGCTGGTATAGTCACAAGGCAGTGGAGGTTTGAAATCAGGGTTTTTCTTTCCCTGGACGGACTGCTGACAGCTACTCTCCTTTCTCCCCTTCTCCTGCCAGTTTATACTGAACCGGTTTTTGCCACGTGAATGCCAGGAGCTGGACTTGGTGGCTGTCAGGAATTGAATTTTTAACGTACGTCATCTGGTGTCTGGGCATTTATATTAAGTGAGAGCTCATCCTTTGAACCCACCATTACCAAATGACAAATCAAGCAATATTTCATTAATCTGCCGACATGCAATAGGTATAACCCTACTTTATCTAATAACAATATTTTTCATTATTTTTCAGTCGTGGCATCACTACCTGGATGTGCACAGACATTGATGGCGGCGATTCGTTTCGTGACGAAATTTTGGCAAATGTCCGAGATGCAAAAGTGTTCTTGATCTTTGTCAACGAAAAGTGGGCCAAATCACAGGAATGCGCTTTTGAGTTTAATTATGCGATGGTAAGACACTTGGAGAATATCACATAAGGGAAGAAGGAGAAACTTCTGAACTGAGTAGAGGGGTCTATAATCAGACGCTGCCCACAAAAATGAAGTTTTACTATATTTAAAGCTTTCGCCTTCGTTTTTACAAGACCAAAGGCTCCTCCGCGTCACTGCTTGCGATTTCTCAAAACGTTACCGGCCGTCCACACTAAGCAATGGAAAACGCATACCTGGCGAACGTTTTCGTTCTCAGGCTATTTTCAGACTAGTGTTTTTTCCAGCAGTGCGCTTTTAAAAATCTAATATTCATAGTAGCTATCACGCCGTCAGAGTTTTCGAAAACGTTCCGTTTTTGACGGTAGACCATATACCCCTAGCCTGTTATCAAAGACCCTAACTTAGAGATCGTTTTTCCCTCCCTCTGTTCTTGACCGTTTATATGTGTGGACAATGGAGTGTGGGGTGCAGCCAAAACGAATGAAAATGTGTTCTATTTTTCTAACGAAAACGATTTAGCTAACTTTAGCCAACAATGCAATCGACTGTAAAGTGATCTGTGCTTAGCAAATCAATAACACCGTAGTTGTCGTATTTGATAAAATTTTCCATTACAAATGGCATGACCTGTTTAAAATTGGAAAGAAATTTACAAATTTAGCTTACTTGTTACTGGTTACAAACTTAGTAAAAAGGTGTTTTTAAAACGCAAGACTTTGTCGCCATAATTTCTAATCTATTTCATTTACTATCACAGCGCAAAAATCTGGTCAAGAATACTCCAAAGATCATGCCATTCGTCATTGAAATGTTTGACATGGAAAAGTATCCTCATGTGGACGCTTTGCTTGCAAATTGTCAGGGAGTGTTCTTGAACTCGGTAAGGCCACGCTTTCTTAGGGGCGTTCAAGGTTATTTATTTATTTATTTATTTATTTAATTGGTTACGGCCAATTGCCTTCTTTTTTACATTTTATCTCCTTTTTTATTTTGTCATAAGTTTTATTGACTTCTTACATTACGTTACATCACATCACATCACATCAAATCACATCGCATCGCATCATTGCATTACATCTGCCTCGTACCCAGACGTCTCTCTTTTGATGAAAATGTGCGCGCAAAGGAAGGCGGGCTCGCCTCTGCCATGCGAAAAACGAAGCGCCTGAGGAGGAGGCTGGCATTGCATTACATTTCATCTCACTAGAAGGGTCACATGCTTTATCTTGGAAACAAACCTGTGACATGCAGCGATTCTAACCGGGATATTCAGCGTTACTGTGTAAGCTTTAACTAGTGCCTCGCTGTATTCAACTAAGGGATGTGATTGCTAGGGGGTGAGTTTCTATGCTTTCCGTACAGTTAGAGAGATACTGCGGCAAACTAGCAGGGACTGGATCTGCAAACTAGCTACTTCAATATGGACCTTACAAGTAATCAATACTTTTTTACATATACCCCTCGCGCAGGAACTTGCTCCCCTCAATTAACTTTTTCCGAAACTTTCCTGCAGTGTTCCTCTGAGATTGATGCATTCAAGCAAATTATGGACAAACTACAAGGCGTTGTGCCCATGAAGGCCTCCACCGCTGCTGCAGCACTGAAGCCTGTTCCAACTAAACTATCAGACGAAGAGTCTAAGGAAGTTTCCATTGTTAGAAAATCACTCACTACTAAGGGGGCCCAAACGTTGCCATCAGGTGCAGTATCATTTGATCTTGCAGGAGTCAGTCGGCTTATAAAAGAGTAATATTCTTATTCAGCAGTGTCTTGCCTCAGACGAAAATTGTAAATGGTCACAGAAAAAGTCTCAGAAAAAAATAAGCATAGTAATTAAACAAAAATACCTACGAGCCTCGCGTCTCCTCATGGGAACTTACTAAGATTACCAAAAGCGTACGTCTGTCGTTACCATATTGCTGGTTTGTAGGTTACGTCACGGCGGCTATGTTGGCCAAGGACATTTTCTCTCCTCTCGGAACTAAAACCCATTTTCATGAAAATAATTTTATTACGATGACCACCAACATGTCAGCTTTGTCACGTGACTGCCAATAGGTTGTGCTAGCATAATTTTTGGCATAGTTTGTCATGACATATTTTGAAGAAAAAGCACGGCTAGCACAATTTGCACTTTAATTTAATTGGCTACTTTTGCAGCATAAAATTTCATTTATTGACCATGCAACTAATTATTTTTTGGCTCGAAATCAGTGTTGCAGGCAAATCTACGTAATAAAATCATTTTTTTTGTCTGCTCATTGTCACATTCATGGGACCTTGGTCCTAAAGGAAGTGACCCAGGACTCTTTTCACAGGACTCGACAGATGGATGTGCATAACTAGCTCGGTTACCCAAGATAGCACCTGAGTGCTGGTTGTTAATTGTTTGCAGTTTGAGTTTTTACAGTTGTCAGACAGTGAATTATGCACTCTAAAAGTTTCAAGATGTAACTAGGGTAAATGTGTTTGCCATTTACTTGTTTGTTACATAGTTATTAAGGTGTTTTTACCAAATTTAAAGCAAAAGGTAGAAGCAAGTTATTTCTGCATTTTTTGCTAAAATGAGCATAATTTACAAAAAGGAACATAATTAGTAGCATAATTTTAGAAAAACACGAGCACTACTGGTGGCATGATTATATATGCTAATCTTACGAGCACATGTATCAAAGTCTAGTCGACACTGCCCAACCACTTTCTCAGATGCAGTGTTACCCCTGTCGAGCGGTCGTACCTTGTTGTCGCCCGCCGGAAAAGGTTCGTAATGTGGCCTCTGGGAGGGAGATTGGTCACTGCACAAGTGATATGGCTGTGGACACACGTAAAATATTGCAGGGTAAGATTGGAGATTCTCTACGAGCGTGGGTGTATCTCTCGCTTAAAAAATGTCTGAGATAATATTGCAATTTTATACTGCTGAGAAATTCAGAGATACGGTCCTGATTAGTCTCCTTGTAAGGCTATAAAAATTACATGAGAGACATTAAAATGATTCGCCATTCTGTGATTTCCTTAGCACCTGCTGGGTGGCCCTATGACATTTCGATAATTTTTTTTGATAGGAAATTGGCAGGGTTACTTCATCGACGGAAGGGCACTTAGAGGAAAAGCCTCAGGAAGCAAATGGCTCATTAATGTCAGCATGAACTTTCAAAATAGCAACCATTTCACAGCAAAAGGACAGGACGAAATTGGTCCCTTTATGTTTGCAAATGGGAAAATCTCAGGTAAATGTCACACAAAGTATAGATAAAGTTTTGACGATGAGCAGCGATCGGTTTATACGCCGGTTAAATGATACGCGACGTCCCAAGGCTAGTTTACCTGATTTCAACCAAGCTAACTTTGCTGATTAACCAGGGTTGTTTCCCTCAAAGTTTAAGAGTTTATTTTCTGGTGTATACTCTACATTGAACTGTCATTGTTAAGAATTTCGTTAGCCGGCCGGTTGTTTGGCCTGCCTTGTTTTCTACCGAATGTTTAGTCTCTGAAGCTTATTTCATGAAATCTTTCCAACTGTTTAATAGCCATTCCTTGTCATCAATAGCGCCAACATCAAAAGTCAAAACTCACGTCAAATACTTTTTAACTTGGCCCAGACGATCTAAGATCTAATCACACATGTATCTGCTGTTGAATATTAATTTAACTTGTTAGCTGTTTTTGTGTATATCTTTTCCAAATTTCCCACCAAACGTACAAGGCTGAACTGAAAGACAAACCTCTATAAGTTTGTAACTAATGAGCGATCTTTTCTTAGCTATGAAGTAAGCAGTGATCGGAATTTTTGTAGATATAAATTGTTATGTTGCCTGAAAGGAAAAATTTCCCGTCGGTTTGATTTTTCCATTCAAAAAATACCTGAGTAAAGCCAAGTTGAAGAAAATTTGCGACCGGTTCCACATTTGGTACAGTCTAAGAGGAAGAACGTTCTTCTGGATTATTTAATTCTTTTTTAAAAATCCGCCACAAACGCCACCCCCCTCCCCTACATGATTGACTCAGTCCGAAACCTTAAAAGTGCCTGAGCTTCAAAAAACACCTGACAGTACACAGGGCGCAGAGTACTACTTTTAGGCGTTTTTGCCTAAGGGACAGACCATTAGAAAACTTATGGGGGGGCGAAACAAAAAAAAATATTCGCGCAAGGGAAAATTAAATGAAAAAAAATTCATGCACGCCAATTAATCCTGAAAAAATATTCATGCTATGGCCTAAAAAAAAATCATACAAGGAATTTGATAACAAAAAAATTCCTGCGCCTCGAAAATTCCCCTCTCCCCCCCATAACTTTTCTAATGGTCCGTCCCTAAATACTTTCAGGACTCGGACCACCAACCAAGCTCTTAAAGAAACTGGTGAAATCATGCTAGCTGTGACTAAAACCTTCTCTCTGTTCAGATGATCACTATTGGGCGGTTACGTTAAGCCTCTGGTCTTGTCTCCTTTATCCTTACACATCAGTTGGAAGTGGACATTAATAAAGAACCGGTGACATAGTTCGAAACTCCTTGTAGGGAATGTAGGCCCCGGTGTCGTGGTCTCTCTGACTCGTGCTGTCATTGGTCTGGGTGGGCGTGGTGAGATCAAACAAGGACTGAATGGTCTGCATAGTGGGCTTTTAAATTTTGACGTCCGATCCCGGGGGGGGGGGGAGGGGGTACTGCCATATATGGGCTATATAGGTATGTGCCGCTGTGGAGGGTATGATTTTCAAGCAGTTTACTCTAGGATAGGGTATATGAATCAGAGCGTTTGGGTCTAGAATAGGGTATCATTTTTCAGGAAACTGATCAGTTGGTTGAAGATTTTATCTAGACTAGGGATTATGGTATAAGGTTTGTTTTGGCTAGACTGTGCTAGTGACTTCAGTAGTTTCTGGAAAACAGCTACTCTAGGATAGGGGGGATTTGGGGAGTTTACTCTAGTATAGGGTAGCAAAATTCAGCTGAACTAGCTCTGGGATAGGCTAAGGGTTCCAGGGTCCCAGCGGCACATCACCACCCAGAAATTCCTAAAGTACCCCCCGCCCGGTCCGATCTCACCTCTCTGCATGGTTCCTCCGCAATTCAGACACAGGCCGCTGCAAGTGAGGAATGTTGGCACCGTTTATTCTTACCGTTTAACCGTTGTTGTCCGAAAGTCTTCCACTGTAATTGAATTGAATTCGAATTTCGCGCGATGATGTAGCAAAACGGAACAGTCACGGACGACAGTCGTGACATTCTAAGCGATTTGAATTGTGTGTGACTATGCCTTTTGTACTTCTTTAACAATCATTTGCACTGACCCCTTCACAGGTTCTACAGTGCAATTTGCTAAGCAGTATGCAAGGCACCGGGTACTGTATGAAGGAGCAGTCAAAGGAGTGCAGATGATGGGGCGCTGGCGACTGGAATCAAGCCCAAGCATCAAAGGAGAATGGGCCATGTGGCCTGTCGGCGGCGGTCGCTGATTTAATCTCAGCTAGGTTTATTTAACTATGGTTTATCCTATCATAAGGATCCTAATTGATACTAGCTTTGTAAAACTGTAATAACACTGACATATGGCTACACTGCATAAATACATCAATAAACCGCAAATATAAAAATTGCAGAAAGTATTGCTACATTTAAGACGATACTTAAAACATTTTTATTCAGGAAATATTCCCATTGATTTTTAAACTTAACATTTGTTTTGTTTTAGTATTTTGAAGTGTACAATACTTGATGTATAATATGTCACATGGGCTAGAGATTTTTCTCATTTTCTCTTTTTCCTATCATGTCTGTCTGTCTTTGAGGACAGAAATGCACTTAATAAGAACCTATATTATATTATTGTTATTATTATTTAACTGCCGACTGTGGTACGTCTGTCCTTTGTGTTAATTATAGTCAAGCAAACAAAGGCGATAAGCCTGCGAAAATCTTTAGACTGTTCACAGTCCTCTCTCTTTTTCTGTAAGACCGTCGTGGTCGTTCGCGTTGCCATACGGGCGGCCATCTTGGTTTCAAATGTACCGAGTCTAGCCTGGGGATGAGGGTGAAAGCAAAGCGCTCGATCTTGACGGTCTTACGGAAAAATAGAGGACTGTGAACAGTCTGGAAAAGTTTCAAGCCGTTAAAGATTTAGGTTCTGATTACCATGAACCGAGCTGGTTCGCAGTTATAAGAACTTATTTCGCCTTCCTATCACTCTCTTTATCCCCGCTTTCCTCAATAATAGGGAGCTTAAGATCCGACGACGGCAACGGCAACGAAAACAACCTTGCACGTGCATCACGCTTTTTTTGTACATTTCTTTGCCGTCGTTGCACGACTACAACGTGAAAGTGCCCATTTTCACGTTTTGGGGAGGACGGGAACACAAGACAACTACTTTCTTGTTCTTTTCCTGAACGTTGATGCAGTCCTTTAAAATCAACTTCAAAAAAATTTACCAGCATTTGACGAATTAAGCGAGATAGAATAAGCGTCAGAAAGTTTAAAGCAGCGAGCATTCACTTTTTAAATGACGTTTTCGTAGCTGTCGCCGTTGTCGGATTTTAAGCTCCCTAATATCCTGAAAAAAAGTGATCGCGCGCGACTTGGGACGACAGTTCCTATGAACAGAACGATTAGGCCAATAAATTGTATCTCGTAAACCTGTCTAAGTAGAGAAAAGTGGGGAAACGTTTGCGTCGAAGAAAATCCGGTCTCGCTGATTATCAGCATAGCCAAACAGCAGCTAAGCCGCGTAGATATTTCTTACGGCTAATGCCGCAAATATATTACCTAACAAACTCAGCAGAGCACTTGGTAAATTAAAGGTTTTTCATTACCTGTTGGAACCCGGATAATTCTTTTCATCGTTAACTTCAGCCGCAGTTTTTATGACATGCGCTATTGTTCACCTACCATTTTCTTCACACCTAAATCATTGCACCGCTCAATCTCATCCCCAGAGTCTTCGTTTCCCTCTGATACTTGGTGTAGACCAAATGGATCGCAGCCTCTGGGAACGAGATTGTACACCGATTGGAGTCAGTGACGCCAACTAGTTGTCGACAGCCACAAACTATTGCTGGTAACTTCTGAACAACAAACCGCAAACTCTCGATATCGTCGTCAATCGGCCTCTCTCAATATGATAAACTTAAAGCAATGGACACATACACCAACCCACGGCTTCGTGAAACCCACGGCCTGGCTAGTACCTCACGCATGCGCACAGCCATATCACCCGGGCAGTGTCACCCATGCACAGCGGCTTCGCCCATATTGAGGCTCATCAGCATGGCATAGCCGTCGGAACTCTGTACGGACAAAGCCATGCTGATGAGCCCCAATAAGGACGAAACAGCTGGCCATGGCTGCTACTGCCCAGGTGATATGACTGTGCGCATGCGTGAGGTGCTGGCCAGGTGGTGGGTTGGTGAATGTGTGCCCCTTACTCTAAGTTTGTCTCTCTCAATATGGCGCTTGAAAAGTGGTCATTGCACGAGTGCAGTTTCAAAAAGCCTGTTACAAGGAACGAAGACACAAATGTCCTGCGGCTAAGTTTTGCCTATTTTAAAAAATTCCTGCACCGATAATTGTTTTACAACCCCTTCAGTTATTTCTTATGGTCCATTTCTAACTTCATAAAACTACAACTGCTGGCCGAAGGTTAAATTATTATATTTCTTAAAGAGAGTACCCCGGTCCCGAAGGGTTTTTCTTGAAATTTTTCTCCGTGTGAAAGAGAGCAAGCCGCGAAGCGGCGAAAATGAGTCGCGTCTAGAGAGGATCTCATTATTCTCTATTGACCAGACGAACTGAGAAAATGGGGAAGACCTTGGATAACAATGACCTCAACCAGGTGGTTTTCAGCGGTTTTAGTGAAAACAAAGCCGGGTGCTCAGTCTCGCGGGCTCATAAAACCTGGTCTCGGTCATTGCTAGGCCAGATGGACCATTAGAAAGGTGATGGGGGTAGGGGAGGGGGAAAAGTCAAAAAAAATTTCCCCGGAAAATTATCAACAAAAAAAATATATTCCTGCGGATTTAGGCCAAAAAAAAATATGCCCAAGGAGAATCTGTGCAGGTAAGCCTGACTATTACAGGTCAACTATGAAGTGAATGACAAGTCCAAATTGGAAAACAAACGTGATATTTTTAATTTTAACATGACTGTTGAGTAAATATTGTTAAGGACTACCTCGATTGATACAGCTGTAGGTCAGACACAGACGTTGAAGAGTTCAACATTTTCCATGTATTATTCACAAATCTTTACTGACCAAACAACTAGGAACCTTTTGGAATACAAGTTATCCTGTGTATTAATACATATTCACAAACCTTTTTGCAGTGAAGATATGTGCTTTCCACAACAACAATCAGTATTACACTGACTTTCTTTGTTGACAGTAAATTGAACAACCCATGCCAGACACTCTTCCTCTACAAAGATCCTGCGTATACGGGCCCCAGTCAGGTGAATATGTTTCATATCCTGACTACGAAGTGAATAACACTGAAATTACAGGCCAACCTTTCTGGACTACTTTGATCTTTCCTCCTAGTACTAGCCCTGATATCTGAACCAAGTCTTGATTGTGTGACATGTATTAACTACCGTTTATTTTCAGATCTGTTGCTCGTCATCAATTCCTTCGAACCCGACAAAGTCTATTGTTGCAATACATTTTTGTTTTACTTTATTCATCGCTTGAAAGGAACCTCGCCTACTTTCTAGTCTATTTATGAATTTAATTGACGTATTAAATTTCTTGTTATTATTCAGTATAAATGTGACATATGAAGCATTTGAAAGTTTCATCTTCTGAAAAAAAAAAATTCCAGCCATCAGGTAAAAAAGAAAAGATTTCCACCTTACATGTACAAAAAAAAAAATGATGCAAAATCTTTTAGTATACGCCGACCGCTGGCAGCAAATGGAAGGCAAGCGGGCTCCAAAATAAACTCTGCTCAACTTCCGCCCCAAATATCAACTCTTCGTTTTAGTTTCGACGATGGAACCAGAAGAGGCATCAGTACAAGATGAGCAGTACTCAGATGAACTCCCTTTCGGAGGGTACGATTTTGTGTTTGTTGATGAGCCTTCTCCTGGGCAAACTTGCTCTATCTGCCTTACTGCTATGAGGCAGGGGCACCCAACGAGAATATAGTTCAAAACTACTTAAACATAGCATTTTTAAACGTATTTTGGGTAGATATAGGCATATTTTCATCCCCTAAAAATTTTTCATCTGTTCGGATTTCCAAGCTGAAAGTCTAGTGATCCGAAAATGATAGGGATCAAAACTTACCCTGTGGAAAATTTCAGGCAGAAAAAAGGCTCCCGAAAATTGTAGGTGACCTTTTTAGGGTAAAAAATCCGTTAAAAATGGGAAATTGTACCATTTTTTAGATGTTCGAAAATGGTAGGAGAGGCAGGCAAGCAAGAACATTTACAACTTTTTGTTCCGAAAATTCTAGATCTCAAACGTCTTTCGAACAGATATTTTTCCGAAAATTGACGTTGGGTGCCCCTGATGAGGAACCCAGCGCAGACATTTTGTGGCCATCGCTTCTACGAAGAATGCTTAGTAGGGACATTCAGGTGGCATGATTATTTTTGAGCTTGACCCATTTAAAATACGCATGTAAAACGTAGTACCCGTCCACTTAAAAAACTGCCACCGCAGTCCCGCCGTAGTCTATGATTTATATGGAGGCCCGTTCTGGTCAAAATTAATATAATAAAATGGCATCACAAGTGACTTTTTCGGCCAGTGCAGCATTTATTATGGACCCGTTGTGTATTTTTGTCATCACTACACAGGATTTTTTTAGTGTGTTGTTATTTTTTTTTTAGCTGCATGAATTATTTTTTAATTAAGGCTGTTTACTTTTTTTATGTTGTTGTATGAATAAATTTTTCATGCGTACCACAAATAATTTTTTAGTGGTACCGCGAATTATTTTTAATACAAGTATTGAGAATTATTTTTTCATCGTGCTGAGAATTATTTTTCGCTGTATCGCGAATTTATTTTTGGTTCTACAATGCTTTGCGGGCCTTGCAGTTGAAGTGGACTGGTTCGAGTCTTTGACTTCCTTGAGCGACCATTTTGAAAACTTTGAAGTTGAGAAGTGCTTTGAAAGAGAATGCCAAGGCGAAACATTGTCAGGGAAAGAAACAAAAGAGGTTTTCATCCTTCTTACAAAATCTATCTGGAGCCAGTAGTCTTTGCCGTTCGTGATGAGGTTTTCTGGACCGAAGATTTAATGGAGGAGACTACGAAGGGACTTCACGACTCGTACACAATTCTAATTCTTATTCAGGGTGTCCAGTTCCTATTTTTTGAGCCTATTCCTATTTTCTCCTATTTTTAAACTAAAACCTCATATTTTTCCTATTTTTTAGCCGGTGAAGGCAAAATTTGTGACAAAATTGAAAATGAAATTATAATTGTATGTGTTTTTGACTGAGTGAAATTCAT